GATAACCCAAGGTTTTTATATCACTCGCTAAGTTCAAATGAAAGAATTATCTTTTGATCTACAGTCGGCACTCTTCGTCGGGCAAATATGTTTGTGTAGACACAAAGAACAAGGTTTTGCAAAAAGATAAAATTTGCTCCGGGAAACGCTCCAAGGGTATTTAACAGGAGTCTACACAAATTCAGTCAATTCTCCAGTGGATATAAAAGAGGTAATTTTAAGCTGTGAAGAAGTGCATCGATTATACAGTAAAAACCTTCCCTTCATCAGTCAGTTAACAGTGTCAATTAGTAAAATCGATCTCGGTTCCGAGTTCATCGATACATTTCTAAGATGGGAGGACATCAAAGCGTCCATGCATTCGCGAATATTCGAAATCAAGAGCTAATATGCGATGTGTCCCTATAAAGAACAAAACTTGTCTATCTCTCAGGTGAGAGAGAGAGAGAGAGAGTCTTTACTGTGCTTTATGTTTTTTATTTAATTTTCATGTTTTTAAATATTAATGAACTAAATTGAAAAGGTCAAGTGGGACTTGATGGAGAGAGGGAGAAAGAACATTTTTCTTTGTGTTTAACCTTTTCTTCCGAATGAAAAAGCTTAACAATTTGTATTTGTATTGTATTGAGAGTTATTTACATTTAGCTGAAAAATAGAAAGATGAACTTGTACATCTTGTTTTGTATGTAAGTCATTGGTGTAAACTTTCTTTTGAAAAGTCGTAGCAGAAAAATCGAACTTATCTCATTCTCATCATAAATGCGAATTACATGGGAACATTAGTTGGATAAGCAATCAACACATCCGCACGTATACTTCAGAACCGTTTGGTTGTTAAATTCATTACTTTAAATACGAAACAAGATATAAGTACAAGTAAACGGAACATCAGTAACTTATTTAAATATTTTTACATTGATTGTGAGAAAGAGATTTTGGTTCTTCCAAAGAGAAAGCATATTAAGACGACCGTTCGATTAATAGTGCATTGATGTATTGTCTTGCGAACTATCAAAACGGAAATGCCCAGCTAAACACATTTAGCTAAGTGCAAGAGTTTTGCAAATTATCTGACCACAAACCAGAAATAGAGAAAAGAGTGAAACCTTATCTTGCGTCGTCACCTTCTTGTAGCATTTGTTTCGTTGAAATCAGACACAAAGAGTTATTACTGAAGAATCTTTTTTTTTTCTATTTGGGATTGTCTTGTGACGTCTTTGCAACGTAGTGTGTCGAGGAAGATCCGATGCCATTTCGGCCGTTCCTCGGAAAAGCTGTAGAATCGTCCTCGTTTGACGTATAACCGTTCTGAGTGTTCCAAAACGTTTATAATTCTTTCTCAAATAAAACAATAATAGTTTTATATGTTTGTCATCGATCGGTCGATGGTAATGGATAGTGATTGTAATCACGTCTTTACTTGGCATTAGACTAACCTAGCCAGTGAATATGCAACATGTGTTCGTGTTGTGCCTTTCTCCTTATATCGACATGTAAATGGATTTTATTTTACCTAAAATCAATCCATTACCTTGCAGTTTATTGCATTTGCCTGAATACATTTTATGACGCAACGATGATTGCAATATGCCAATGTAATGAAAACTTTTTGTCAACACAATACTCATCAAAAACGAATGTTCATAAACACATGCACACGGACAAATGCAACAATACGCATAAAGTGAACTACTCGTCGGCGTAAGTCTCTGTAGGAAGATATATCTCGATAATGACCGTCCGATGTGTGTTTGAAGAAAAATTTGAAAATTTATTTTAATAAAAGTGTTAGACCACAAGCAAAAAGTGTGAGTGCGCACAATACAATTGCCATTTGAATCGATTGCATTTAGCCATACACACGGTTAAAAGCAGTACGAGCATGCAAATGATGCTCACAACTCGTATATCATCTCAAGCAATAACTAAAGCTGTGTTACTAACACATAATATTTGAAAGCAAAAAAAAAAAAAAACAACGATGGCAATCAAAGGTGGATATGTGTGCGTACGTACACGTAAATCATATCATCCCTTGATATAAATGCGCACACATACACAGCGTATACACAAATAATTGCAGAAAGAGAGACAATTGCTTTACGTTAAACTAACAAGTTTCATATTTCATATGCTTTGGGAAAATGGGAAAACATGTCTGTGCCGCTTTATGTTATTATGATAGTAGTAGAGAAGACTCGTGCAAATTTCAAAAACACTTGCCAGAGGCAACTGAATTGTGATTGATGTACGGTCCCATACACTAGGCAGTCAGTCAGGCAGTCAGTTTTGTGCTTTTGCTGCTTCTATCGTAATTGCATTTTAATGCAATTATGTGCTCTGTTATGAACCCATTGATATCGCAACGAGCCCATCTCAGCACTCCCACCCTACCAAGCACTCATTGCTTAATTCCAACTGTAACAAGCAAGAGAAACACTTGACAATAAACAGAAGCCTTTATTGCTCGCTACCATTGCATGTATGTATTTTTTTATGTTTTATTCACTATCGCCTTGTGTGTGTGCGTGTGTGTGTCTACTTGTATATTTATTTAATTTTTCTGTTTTTGTATTTTATGATGTTTCTCTTACCATTTCGCAGATAGATATGAATTTATATTCCCAAATTCCCTGTGCGCACATTGCGTCCGGAGACTTTTATAGCCCTTTGCCGACGGTGATATGAGTGGTGTAACCGTGACGTTTAACAGGCGGCCTTTTATCCCTAAGGATCGATTAGCTTGTTAAGAATTCAATTCGAAAGCATTTCTTTCATTTCTTTATTTAAATAAGTGATGTTTTTTGTACAAATTAATTTTCTCTTTTACAATATGCAACAGACCGCCACTGCACACTTACGACACAAACTTAAACGAGTCAAACAATTTGAAGGTATAAATTAATTTCTCACAAACAAATCCCGCAGAATGTTGCTTTGCTTTTTGTTCTGTATGTGTGTGCGCTTTATGATAGATGCTTCGAATGTGTGCAGTGTGTTTATTAGCGATCACGTAAGGATAACATTTTAAAACCTATTTCGATATAATAACTCAAAGTTTCACCCGAGAGAGAACTTCAAAACTTATTCACATTAATGACTTTTGTAGCAACTTTAGCTTACGTGCCAATTCCTCCCGATTTCAAGTTTATACTTACTTCAACACGTTTCCTCAAAAATCTATTTGCGAAATCACTGCTTACCAATTGGTAATGACCATAATAAAATTGACCGGCCACGAATGGATACATCACCTTAATGCATTGTATCTTGCTGCACTCTCGTCCGTATCCGATTCACTGCTTAATATATAAACATTTGCGTGTGTGTGTGTGTGTGTTTGTGTGTACATGTAGATGTGTGCTAGTATGTGAATTTTTCAATTTATTGCCCATATAAACTTATCATATAACAATAAATGTTAAGAAAATTGATTTTAAAACAGGAATAATAAAAAAAAACTTCAACGCACTTCTCCCCCACTAAAGCAGTTACTGGTTTTATTATTTATTCATTTGTTGTTTCTTTCGAATCTTTATATGACCATAAGATGAGTTTATGAATAATTGAAGACTTGTAAAATTTAGCTGGTATTGCCACTTATAAGCTGGTCGAGAAAATGTTTGCAATGATTTGTAAAAAAGTGTGAAAATTTTTAAATGAATCAAACGTTTCTTACAATCAATCAAACATTAGATCACTTTACAAACTCCACCGAACAAAATACAAGCAAAATGACTATATTCGCTTAAAAAAAAAATTAAATCTTCAAATCATTTCTTTGACCTTCAAGAATTTAGATAGACACTTAGGCAACGAAACACTGATAAGGCGACAGAGATCCCTGAATATTCGGAAATATGTGTCTATTTTGAAATTCATCCTTGAGCTTTGGAGCCACCAAGAGCTCAAAATTTTTTATCGCGATTCATATTTAATCCGCTCTCTGCCGCTTGTACCGTTTTCAGCGCACGCCAAAATACATTTGCACGTCAACGTTAGAATCTCAAAATTAGTTATTTTTAGCACCAAGTAATGTACTTACGCGATGCAATCAGTGTTTACAACACTGATTGAATGTGAACTGATAACGGTACATGCGGCGTACTGGTTTGTTTGCAGTGAATATTTCAGTTGTTTGTTAACCGTTTGTGGGATATTGAAGAAGTATTGAGACTTTATATTGGATGTATATATGACCTATTCATGATTGAAATACATCTTCATAATAAAGATTCAGTTATATAATTCCTAATTTCGATTACCGTTTATACATTTTCTTCCGAATGCAGAGAATTCTGTTGTTTGTATGTCTACAGTTATGAAGAATATATGTGTTGCCTCACAAATACAAAAACAACGATATTTAATTGACATTGTTGAGTTTGTTCGCGTGTACCGAAAACGATACACGTCTACTGAAACTTACGTCCACTTATAGGCAGCACGCCGAGGTAAGCAATGATTCCCTTTATAGCTTTACTTAACTTTAGGTTTGATTAATTCGTACCCATGCGCTAATTTTTTTATCTAGTAAAAGTTGAAGTTAAAGGTTTAGACAGAAATACCGTGGGCAGTGGATATGTAATTGTTGAACTCCTTTTTCTATCCACACATAAGCTTTTAATATTCTCGGCTAGCAATGAAAGATTGCTTTATTATATGCTTATTTATACATGTTCGCGTTCCTAAAATAACGCCTGAATCAAAAAACATTAATCATAGATGTGTGTTAATTCCTTGAATGAAGGTAAATCCTCGGAGCCATCTTAGAAATGCCATTTTTTCGCTTTATTCAAAATCCACTTGAAACGTTATTTCGCTTTTATTTTAAAAGCGTAGGCTAGAGAAGTCTGCCAGTCCAGCAATTGTTGTTCTCCCGTAATTTTATTTTAAATAACGTAATTACTTTTAAGATACATTTTTTACATAAATATTAGATTACAGTTTCACTGTGCAGCAATTTATCTATAAAAGTTCATAATTTTTTGTTACATGCCTTAATGTCTAACGTAATCATTGGAATCGACACTATTGCCAAGCTCTTCAAGCATTTCATTTGATTGATGATGATTCCTTCCATACAAAGGATTGTTATTATTGTTATTATTGTTACTATCATTATTTTGGTTGCCGTTGGAAGGATTCAATCCGTACGAAGCAGATGCCGTGGCTGCGTGATGGAATAAAGGATTCTTTAGGAAATGCTGAAACTGTAGCAGACATCTGCGGCAAAGAAGCGAAAGATAATCTTATTTATATATCGGTTTTCTATTGTGCTTAAATTTTCTTTATGACTACGCCACCAACACGAATTCACAATTTATTTTTCTTACATTCCTACCTTTCCAACCTCTTATCGACACCATCTTGTTGTGTTTCAAGTATTTCCGGTATATTCTCCTCCTCTCTGCGAAAATGGTGATTGTTGTTACTGTTGCTTATCGCTATGCCGCCGCGTTTACCGTTTGTCCAACCTCTTGAATATTGAAATGTTTGCCCCTTGCAAGTCATCGAAAACATAATTGACAACAACAACAATGGTAATAATGTAAAGCGTAGCATATTTGTTTGTGGGTTCACTGCAAATGTGCGTATCATGCAAAGGAAATTGCAAATATGTTGCAATGTAAGCCGAGTTGTAGGAACAGCATGTGGTTAATAATAAAAAAAGAAATAACAAAGCCATTAATGTTCTCATGAAGCCAATGCATTTAAATACATAGTAGAGCTTCTTGTCTTCCAGTCAAACTATATTTTGCTTAAATTTGTCGTAAGCACTTGCTCCACTGAGCTTAAAGTTCAGCGTCAATTTGATCAAACAGAATTTGCTTATTTTTGTTTTTCTTCACTTTCATCGTCTTGCTCTTTCATTGTTTTATCAACAGCCACCGTTTCCCGAAGAGTTTCTTTCTTCTTTTTATTTTTTGTTGCACAAAACTCACAATTACAACCCAATAGTTATTAGGACTTATTTAATATCAAAGATTTTCCGGCATACGTTACAAAATTTTCATAAATTTCAGACCAAGTTTTTGAAGAAGAGTGAAAAAATAAAGTTGAGATAACATCCCTGTTTCTGGTATTAGCTACGACAAAACCCTTTATAGAGACATCTAGCGGAAACAAAATCGACAATGTTTCGCAGCAACTTACATATGCAAACGCACACACGCAACATCGATATCTGTGTAATGCATCGACTCATATACGGGGGAAATGTGATTTTCGTCAACGCGTGCAGGGCTCGCAAACAGATACGAACTGTAAAGAATGGACCGAAATAATCTCCTTTCCGTTAAAGTCTTACTCGGCATTGTAAATCATATTATGGCATGAAAGAGTCCCGCAAGCGAGCGGAATAAAAGAATCGGAAATAATTTCCAAGGTTTGCTATTTACTCTGAACAAACTATGTTTCTCAATGCACTTAATCCAAATAAAAATCTCGCAAGCTCACTAAATACGATTTTAACCACGGGTTATATTCGCTACGAAAGAATGGGGCTTAGTTACAATTTAAACAACCCGTTTGCCCGCAAGAAAATGTAGGAAAGCACGTCCGTCTGTCCCTCTGTGTTGTCAATGCAAAACAAGAAGAACTTATCGACTTGAAATCTGGCAAAAAGCATTGAAAGATGTCGCAGGAAAGTTTGTGTCGAAAGTGGGGTAAATCCTTCAAAGTACACACTTACATTGCCGTGTAAACTTGCTTTCAAAAGCCAAGAGAATGGACATAGAGTTCCAATGATAAAAATTTTCGCAGTACGTGGACAAAAGTAGAAAACTCGACCACGCCCTTCCAATATTATAGAGTATTAAAATTTTATTTATATTGCGCTTTTTTTTAAGGCAAAGTCGGTGGATATAAAAAATTCTGCCATAGCCAAATATAATTTTCTTACTTGTTTTGAATCGTCGAACTACCTTCCAAGTTTGGTAAGCGTTTTTTGCTCAACCGAAGAATCAATCTGAACTGACTTAGAATTGTGCATACTCAGGCTATATATACTATATTTTTTTTTTAAAGGAACATGCCAAACTAAACTATCAATCAAAGGAAGAGTACAGTAAAATTATCAAAAAAAAAAAAAAGTTTTGAATGTACACTGAAAGAAATTCATTCAACGCATATTGCAAACCGTAATCTTCGTAATTTATAATAACGCCATAGTGGAACGGCGTTCTACGAGATCTAATGTTCCGCCTACAATTTCCAAACACATGTCCCGAAACGAACAACTTCTCACTCGAACAACATTTACTATAAATAGCAACTGAAGCGATCGAAATTTCAAAACTTGATCATTCAACTCCTCGCAACTTTTATAAATATTGCCTTGAAACTCCCACATGCTAATATTGTAAGTGAATTAGTTGCCAAACTTTATTTTAGAGAAGTTTTCCCAAAATTATTTTCCGTGTATACGCTATCCTTCAACACATTCTCCAAATATCTTCATTAAGCGTCAATTGTTTTTGCTAAATACTCCATACTAGTATTTAAATATCATTGATAATTGCGTCTACTGATTGCAAAGAAATTCTGATGAAAATGATGATAAAAATAAATACTTAACGAGATTTCTTCTTATATTTTCTTTAAAGTCGTGGGCTAGCCTTATCTCCACACAAAACATGATTCCACTAAAAAAGGGTGACATCTTATTGAGCAAGAATTCAGATTAAGCGCAAAGTACGGTAAAGTAGACAGCGCTCATATCGAGCAAGAAGCTAAATGTATAATCTATATGTGTACTTCTACAACTTGCCATAAAACTCTAAGTTAGCTGCGAATTCCTCAATAGCACGCGCAAAACGTGAGTCCATACGCACACGTAGTGAGTTTTCGTGCCTTAGATAACACAGTTAACACTGTTGTGATCAAAAAATAAGTTTAATTTGCTTATAAAATGAAAAATGCTTGTTTATTCTTCCAAATCCTTGATATAATGGCCTTAATGACGTTCAAATAATCGAACGAAAGGGAACTCATAATACACATAACCGCAATGATCGAGGAATCCGGTTAAGGTTAACCGGATCTTGATTTTTGAACCAGCTTGGCCTTTGCTCGATTCGGTTCAGTTACTTACGAATCGCCTACATAGTTTCAAGTCTGGTCGCCCGCAATGATGCGTTCCATGACGTTCTGGATAGTAAGAAATCTCTCATAATTCACTTCCCACGGACGTAGTAAAAATTAAAAAACTCACTTACCTGACTTCATAGTATCTTCAAAGGGAGGAAATGGAAAATTAACCTCACTTTACGTTCACAGTATTAGCGTTAAGTGCCGTATTCTCATTTTTAACAAGGCCAGGAACTAATAAACTATCATCTACTTCCCGAATATTATCCCACTAAACAACAATGAGTGGTCATTTAAAAAAATCTTGTGGATACTTGGAAAAATGTATGCAATGAAAGTGCTTTCTGGGCATATTTCAATTCCCTTTCGCCGCCATATTATGGTCATCGTTTTAGTCTTGATCTTCCCAATTCAGTGCAGAGTTCATGTGCAAAATTTCAACGGTAAACGCAAATGGACAAATGAGCTCAACATTTCCGAACCTTTACATTGCTTGAATATGTAGCTTTGAATATGGGAAGAAAGCATTTAGTGAAGAGTGAGCTCAATAGTGGAAGCAACTATGTAAGCATCTATATAAGACCAGAAAAAGATTAATCTACGGTATATAGGAAGGAAATGTCACGAGCAGATCTGGCAGAGATTCAGCTCAAAATTCTGAACATTACTCACAGAGTAAATTTGCTGCCACCCTATAGGGTTTTAAAGTGAGAAGGGGGGGGAGACGGCACGAGAGAGAGAGAGAGAGAGAGATTACTGCTGTCATCGAATTGTTTGCGTGCATCTAAAATTCATTATTTTCTTTTGTTTTGCTACGTCGAACTTTTCATTAATGAAACCCAACAGGTCTTGCAGCTATTCGTTCTTGCACGCTCTTCGATGTAGAAAATGATAATCAAAACAAAACGTTGCAATGACGAGTTGTTCCCTATGTTCCATTGAACGCATGCCCGTTAACTTGCGTTAGCTTTGCACTCATATGGGTATACAGACCGCATTTGAAAAGTTTTATCTTGTTGGGCAAATTCAAGCGTGAAGATAATTAATTTGATGTCCGGCCATTGTTTTATTCAAAAATAAATTGCGGAGGCTTCAAAAAAACTTTAACACAAGAAGGGATGCACAAATTCATATTAAGCAACAAGTCTAAACAAATCGTATCAAAAAACACATTTAATGTAGAGTAACGTGAAGTGTTAAAGAAAAAAAATCAATAATTTCCCATATGTTGAAAATGTTTTCATAAAAGAGATTTCTTTAAATCTTGCCTTAATGTGCTATAAAGCTTCACGATTACGTTCCGAGGAAAATGGAAAATATGGGTCGGTTGCGTAAAGTGAGTCCAATTAAATCTCAACATTGCTCATAAAAGTGTTTTTCTAGTGATTAATTTTTTATGAAAAATTGCTGAACGCTTTGAAGGAAAGCTTTAAAATCGTTACCAAATAAATGCGAACGTTTTCTTTTTGTGTTTTTTTTTTGTTTTGTTTTTTTTTTTGTGCTTTTTTCTCTCCCACAATTTAATATGCAAGACATGTTTGGCCTACTGGCAAATCCAACAACAAGCAAAACAAAAGCTACTAGAAAACAAATTAATTGACCACTGGCGTTAACCTGCTCTAAGACTCTAATGACTCTTGCGAAGCTTAAATTTTAGTTATTGCGCGAAGCTTGTGGCAATAAAAACATTATTTTCATTTTCGGTTTGTTTGCTCCGTAATTTTCTTGTTTTTCTTGTTGTTCTCTATTGTAGACCACCAGTGCAGGTTATGACACTCAATACTTGTTAAAATCTTCTCCTAACATATTGGAAAACTTTTCTTACGAAGATTTTCAAGTGAATTTCGATCGTACGCAACCCAAACGTATGACATCACCACCTACACGTTATCCAAATCGTAAACGTTCCAAATCGCCTCTGTTCTGCGAAACACTGGAACGTCATGCCTTTATGCAGAATGTCATTAACACCAAACGTCTTAACAGCTATGAAACGCGCTATTCCTCGCCCAGTGAAAAAGAAGAAAATGTTCGGCGCAGCTTAGGATCCATATCCAAAGATATAAAGGAAATTGAGGAATTTCTGGCGGCTACCGAGAACGTTATGCGCGAGGAAAAGGAAATGGAATTGCTAATGAAAAAGATGCGTTACAAAGAAGGTAGTCCGAATAAAGAAAACAAAATGCCGTCTCCAGTTAATGGATCTCGACGTAATTCCATTAAGAATACTACTTATAAAATTAATTCTTTTAAAAATCGACGTTCCAAGCCGGGTTCACCGCGTCTAATACATTCGCGTTTATATTTTCGGAACGGTCGTATAGGATGTTTGGAGGCAGAAAATGCGACCTCAAACGTGGAAAGTACTCACGCCTTAGTGAAACATATTTTGAAGTATGAAAACGAGAAACCCTTGGTTAGCCCCGAGAGTGTTCGAAAAGTGTTAATTGGTGATATTAAGAACGCAACAGCAGCTCTATCTGAACCAAATTCTCCATTGCAAACCAAAGGAGCGCCCATTGACGAGAGTCACACCTCTTTACCCGGTCAAGTGGACATTGACGTGGAACGAGGCATTGAATTGAAACCTTTAAAAGAAGAAGTTGACAGAATTACCGGCAAGTTAATCTTACAAGCTGAAGAGACAGCTGCACAAAAATCGCCTCAAACAGAATCACAGTTGGTCGATGAAGATGAACAGGATGTGCGAATTTGTTATGACGAATTACCGGAAGTGCTTAACGAACAAGAAAATACAGCAGCGCTTATGGATAGCGAGATAGATGTCGTAGATCCGAACACTCCAATCAATGTTTGCGTTAATCGTCTTTCGAGCGCTGGTAGTTTAGATTCGGACGGCCAGCAATTTTTAAGGGAACAAGTAAGACATTTGGTGAGACGTTTTACGGCCAGAGCTAATAAAGTGAAGTCACAACTAGAGTTGCCGCCTACTCCGTCGAGCAGTACTACGTCTCCTTCACCCTCGCCCTCTGCTCCACCGCAGAGCGCAACGCGCGCTTGGAGTGAAAAGGGAGAAAAATCTCCAGAGAAAAAATCGAACGTTGTTAACCCTCAAAAAACCCCTAATAAAAATCGACCTTTTGAAGCTGATAATTCACGTTCCAGCATGTGGCTTTGTTCCAGCCTTTGCGGCAGCAATGATGACCATAATACCTTGGATCCGCAAGGTAAAATATATATTGCCTGGCTTTCCGTCGTCTCCATATCGTTTCTCTACAATGCTTGGGTTATACCTCTGCGATCCACATTTCCCTTCCAAACTCCCGAAAACACTAACACATGGCTAATTATGGATTTCTGCGCCGACATTATTTATCTATTGGACGTGGTCTTCTTCAAGCACCGCCTCATGTATTTGTTCGAGGGTTTTTGGGTTAAAGATAAAAATCTTACTCGTAAAAATTATATGAGGAAATTACAATTCAAGGTACGTGTTGCCGTTGTAGTAATCATAAAACATGCATGATTCGTTTCTCATTAAGAATTTCATTACTCAAGAATTGTAAAAACAAAGAAAGGTTTTCTGTTCACAATGCTTGCACGTGCAAGTATTTATGCAACTATTGCTTGAATATCTTTTTTAACATTACAGCTGGATTTATTGTCGCTTTTGCCCTTGGAACTGCTGTATTTCAAATATGGCACTATAGCCGTTTACTTGAGATTTCCTAGATTTTTTAAGGTTCAAAGTTTTTGGGAATTCTTCAAGTTGCTCGATCGCGTCATATCTTCTCCGCATATTGTAAGTGCATTTTGCTAAAGTTTATAAGCTTTCAGATCATTTTTCATAATACACTCTACACAATTAGGTGCGAATTACGAAAACTCTACTCTATATGCTATATATGATTCACCTAACCTCCACGCTTTATTATGCGTACAGTGCTTATCAAGGTGAGTGAGCTGAAATTTAAATTTAACAACAAGCATCGCAATCGGGCAAAGTCGTCTCTTAAGTTCCCTACATCGCGTTTATTCGTTGCATTCATTTTCATCGTAATACGCCAGAAATTCCATCTTTTTCTCATATAAAGCCATACTTTGCATGTAATCCATTTTATTGTAGGGGGGTCCACATTTTGACTTAAAATGATGAAAATTTTCCCAGTAAAGGTTTCATTATTCTTTATCTACTACAAACTACACTTTGTTGACAAAGGAACGCTTACTTCTCATAAGATCCCTGATATGATGTGGAGTACACGGATTGCAGCTAAGAAATCCAAATTTACTACATTTACTGCTACAAAGTTTTATGCCAAATTGCTATTATGAACCTATTTTCATCATAAAATATTGAAAATTAACTCGTAATCTCCAGACTGTAGACCTTCTTGAGCTAAGATCGATATAGTTAGATTTTATATAAAAAATGTTAAAATGTGCGTCCTTTCGCCATATGAAGAGTAACTTCTCATAACATCCCTTCTATGGGGTATACGGTCCAAGTTTGATACAGTTACTTCTTATATTGAGTTAATATTTGGAAGCAATTTTCGATATATTGAAACCTTAGCCTTTTTACTTAAGGGCAAGCTCTTCAAAAAATTGCCCCTTCACATCCAAACTTTTCACATCAATTTTTATGCCGAAATATTATTACTCAGCGATTCAGTAACAAATTTTTTTTAAATCTCTCATCTTAAAAACTGCGATCTGTAAGCTGAACACAGGCAGACCGACAGACGGACATGTTTAAATCGATTCAGAATCATGTTCTAAAATAGAATTGGCGCAGTATAAAGTTCGTCTCTCTTAAGTCTTTCTGGATATTACCTACACACACTATCACAAGGGACTATGATATGAAACGATAATTTTACTACATATAAACATTTTTAGGTGTGGGAGTAAACCGCTGGGTTTTCAATGGTAAAGGCCATCCGTATGTGCGCTGTTTCGTTTTCGCCACAAAAACGGCCACTTCCATAGGTAAACATTTTCTCGTTCAATGAAAGAGACTTAAGAAGAAACAGTTACATTTCCACAGGGAAAAATCCTAAGCCGGATCGCGAAGGAGAGTACGTCTTTATGACCGTAGCCTGGCTAATGGGAGTGTTCGTGTTTGCCTTACTTATTGGACAAATCAGAGACATCATATCAACGGCTACTCGCACAAAAAACGAATATCGCCAACTGGAAGATGAGACATTGGAGTATATGCGTCGCTTGAATCTTTCTAAAGAAACCCAAAAACGTGTGAAGATGTGGTTTAAGTTTACTTGGGATCAACAGCGCACTCTCGACGAATCTAACATCTTGGATTCCTTGCCAATTAATTTAAAAACTGATATCGCTATTTCGGTGCACATACAAACCTTATCGAAAGTTCAGCTCTTCGCAGATTGTGAAGAGGCTTTACTCCGTGACTTGGTTTTGAAATTGCGCGCCGTTACTTTCCTACCCGGAGATTATGTGTGTCGTAAAGGCGAGGTGGGCCGCGAAATGTACATAATCAAATTGGGACAAGTTCAGGTCATGGGTGGCAACGACACCGTTCTGGCCACTTTATCCGAAGGGAGTGTTTTCGGTGAGATTAGCCTGCTCGGTATTAATGGTGCCGATCGTCGCACTGCCGACGTTCGTTCTAAAGGTTTCGCCAATCTCTTTGTCCTATCTAAAGCCGATTTAAATGAAGTAATAGCTTATTATCCTAGCGCGCAAGCCATTTTGAAGAAACGTGCTCGGGCTTTAATGCGCAAAAATGCCGCTCGTGAGAAGCAAGAACAACAGGCTCGACATCGCACTTTACAAGCTGATGTCGTGATCGGTAATCCCAAGACTCCAGAAAATCAGCCCAAACTTTTACAAACAGTTATCCAGGCTTTGCCCTACGAATCGCCTGCTGTTCTACTTATTACACGAGGCTCAAAACGAACGCGAAAGCAACGGCTCTCAACAAAAATGGAAACTATTGAGGATTGCGAAGTTGACGAAGTGAACAAAAACCGCGCTTTGAAAAAACATGACAGCTTTTTATTAGCCAAGGACTCGAGGGCGAATTCACCAGACCTCCTATCATCCATACAGAACGAGTTGCAAAATAAAAATCAATTTATAAATTTAACTGATTCTGAGAAAGCCCTCATAGTCTCCACTACCTCGAGCAATGATTCCATAGTTGTAGAAGACTTGGAAGAATGTGGAATGTGAAATATCTGAAAACTGTAATCATCTAACTTGTTCTAATGGCGTTTCCTTTACGTGTCCATAATTTAAGTCAAAATAAAATAAATGTTTTGTGTACGCTTTTCAATCTTAAAATTTAGATGACTTTCTAGCTTGTCATCGAGCCTGATGGAGAAAGACTGCAAAGTCAGATTTGTTCTTGTAAACTAAGTTGAAAGCCTTAACCGATACTTTAGCAGATGGAAAACGCGACATCAAGTCTTCGTATTCCTGTACAACCGTTTCGACTGTTGTGTACAAAATGTCGGTGGTTTTAACCACACTTTTTTTTTTAGCAATTTCATTGCAAAGGTAGTCAGGCCATCTCTATGGTGCTCCGCGTGCCAGGTAGAGTACCGCGTTCACCCTCCGTTTATATATACGTTAGTCGGTAAGGATGTTTGTATAGGTTCGATGGATTGCTTAATGAAAAAATTCTGAAGGCGCATTCAAAGCAAAACGCATTCTCACACACACACTTATCTGATATACATTTATACTTTTATTTTATTATATGTAATATTTGAGAGGAAAATAATAACGCGATTATTAATGCGAAAACACAATGATCTACACGAAACAGCTTGATTTGAATGATTTTCACTAGCAATGGGTAAAATTCTATACATGTTATTATTAAATATAATAAATATATGAATTATTTTGTAAATAAATTAGCAAAAATGTGTCTTCTTCTTTTCTTTTTTTTTTTTTTTTTCATTAAACACGTATGTATGTATCTATGTGTTCTACTGGTATTATACATATTAGGCATAACATATACTTATAGATATAAGGTTTCTTTTTTAACAAATTTGTTGCCGGGAATTCATCGGTGTATACAACAAATATATATTACGATAAAGCTCGCTTGCTTTCTTCTTCTTACGCTTTAAAATGAAAATTCTTCGAATTTTTTAATAAAACATTTAATTACTTTCTTTTTTTGAAAAATAAAAATCTCGTATATGTTTTTGAAACACAGGTCTTTGTCTACAACCGAAATATAAGTAACAAAATTTCACTAACTCTTATTACTTTTCGCAAGTCTTTATGGAACACGAACATCTTTCTTTCTTGTTTTTTTTTTTTTTTTTTTTTTTTTTTTTTTTTTTTGAAAAATTTGAAGAAACGAAATGACAGTACTTTTTAGATAATTGATCCCCGTGTAACATCGGTCAGCTTCTATTGCTCTCTTCAAGTTTATTTGAAAGCGTTTAAAGAAAATTGCAAACTTACTGCACATATATAGCGGAAGGCTAAAAGTAAGTAAAGAAAAGAAACAAAAAAAACAATAACGATATATGCTTGCGGATGGCTTGTCCGCTGATGTCTGCCTAAAAAACAGGTATACAACAGATAAACGATTCGTCAGAATTTGCAACTTTTTGAAGTAACCATCGGAGCGAAAAGTGCTGCTGTTTGCATTGAAATCGAAGTTATATAGTCTATAGTCGGTTTTGTGTTTGTTTAATTGTATGCGTTATTTAGTTGTATTTCGCTATATTTTATATTAATGGACGATAACTCTTGTATTATTCTCTTCTTTCGGTTTAGCTATATAAACTGCTACGTACGCGACGAGTTTTTCTTCTCTTCACTTTTTTAATTTTCATTACACACACACATAAACGATTAATTTTGAGTGTGTGAGCTTAAACGCTATTTAGACTGGAGCCACCATAATTTGCGTGGGCGTAGCTGCGTAAAAGTCGATTATAAGGGTATTGAGCGGCTGGCCATAATTCCGGCTTATCGGTTAAAGTGTCGGATAAAGCTTGCAAAAGAACATCTGCACAATGATAATTATTGTTAATATTCACTATTCCTTATGCCAGCAATACATATGATTCGAATGCTTAATTTCAACTTACGGATAACCTTCTTTTCCAAGTCGACCGGTATAACACCCAACTTATGCTCGCGTTCCAAGAATTCGGTTAATTTTTGAATTTCCTTTTGAGCCTCATCGGAACCATGTGTCAGGGACTGAGTAAACATTATCTAAATACATTGAAATACGCAAATAAATGTGCTTCCAAGTCGAATATAACATCTGTTCATGGAAGCATTCAAGAATATCGTTTTAGTGTGGAATAATGCAACATTTGCAAGTTATACAAGTCTTTTACTGAAACTGACTTTCGCTGACTGCCAGTTTTCATTGAATACACATAAGAAGTGATACACAACTGATTGCTAAGAACGGGAAACAACGGATTTCGGCAACTTCACAATTGAAGTCGTTTGATTGTCGACAGTCAGTTTATCGCGAAATCATTATCAGCAAACGGACTCTCGAACTCTTGCTTGCAATGCAATTACACGGACTCTTTGGTACGCAGCCAATAATTGAAGAGTGCAAATGTCTTCAAGATGTTGTTTCAACAGAACAACCCGAAAATAAAACAATATTCATTAGGAGATGTCCACAACGAAAATCTTTGCTTATTCATATTTACCCGAGCCAGTTTGTATATGATTTCTTCCAAATTATATTCCTTGTGTTCACAATCAGTGATTTTCGAATGCCTGGTCTCAGAGGCGTCCAAATCAGCCAAATCTGTATGAGTTTAACAAAGCCTATGTTCCAATCAGACTCTTAACGTATTGCATTTCATACACTACCTTGTCCATCTTCGTTGTTAAGTGCTTGTAACTTATGCCACAATGATATGCTGTCCAAAGTCTTGGCCAAATTCAAATTTTCCGAATCTGTTTCTTGCAAATTTTGTTCTAATTTGACATACGGTAAAGCAGTTGTAGTTGTAGTCGTTGTTGTTGTTGTTGTCGGCATAAAACTTTTCTATTTCGTAGATAAACATATGCGAGGGAAATAATGATTTAATAAAAATATTTATTATCTACTCATCCCACCTTAACAGTGTTGTGATGGATTTCTTCGGGGAAGATGCGATTCGCATATGATTTCTGCAAGTATTCAATACCCATACGTATATCATGCAAGAATTTTAAGGCTTCTTCACGCGACATCTAAAAGTATAATACGTTGCGAGGGCTTTTTCAAAATTTCATAACATTTCTTATAACTAATATTATTCTCCTACTCTTCAAACCTACTTAATAATTGGCCCAAGCACAAATTTTGTTTGGAATTGTTGCAGACTCGTTCTACAACCTTTTAAAAAAGCAGCATAGGCAAAAGATTGTACTCTGCACATTATGCGAAATTACACAAGCCCTTGTATAAAAATTGGACTTGGATATTTTCAAAGCAGTTATTGGATTCAACCAGTAGTAGACGGATTCAATCCATACACACTCAGATTAATTTACATTCTTGTTAATACTTCATTAATAGTTGTTAACTTGCTTAATATGTAACTAAGAGTTTCAGAGAAAGCGGCGCTGTTTTCAATTCTCTGATTGGCAGCTCGTTTCCTCTTACGCAAGCTATCAAGCTTCTGCTTAATATTAACTTATCTAAGCGTTACGTGATTCTTAATTTTTAATTACCGCATCCCGGTGTATTAGTTCTTCAACTGCTCGCGCCACACCGGCCTCATCGCCCGTCCAAAAAACATACTGCGCCATATCGAAAGATGAATATTGACCGTTGGCGTGTTTTAGCAAACTCTCGGCTGTCTGTAAATATATTTGTACCCTTTTGTTTTTAATCGAACACAAAAAATAGCGTATTTTTCTATAAAGTTAACGCATAAGTGGGATTGAAGCCAATTTTTTTCTAACTTTAAATGAAAATCTTAAATAAATTGTCCGAATTCGAAAACTCAGCGAATTTTTGTTTGCTCTAAAGAAGTGAAACTGAACAAGAAAACTGAACTGAAAAATTCTTTATGCATAAAAACCTTTGAACTCATCGTAGGAACCGATCTTCGACTGGCACTTTTTCTCAATGGTGCTGTTTCGTCAATTATCACATCACCTATTAATTGTCGAGCAGGTTCATCCTCTTTGTTTGGTTTGCGTTCTGCCTTCATGGGCCTCATAGGATTTAGATGTACTGGTTCGTTGGAGGAAACCGCAGGCATTTCAGTTGCTTCTGACTCTACAGGTTTATCATTTTCATCTTCATTTACTCCACTAGCTTCAATGTTTTTGTCCTCTTCAACAGGCGCAGCCTCGGCGTCCACAGCGGCAATTGTACTGGTAGAGGTAGACGTAGTACTAGTAGTTGTTATGGCCGGTGCTGCTGACGTGGAAGTCGTGGTTGGAAGTACTTCGGGATTTTGTCCGTACATTAGCCGTGCTGCACCGTGCATACCCAAACGACACTACACATATTTTTACAATTATCTTAAGTACCCTTCACACAACACCTAAGCATTCGACAAAAATTGTCTCCTTAAACTATGATTTGAAACATTTTTACCTTAGCTGCTGCTTTAGCTTTCTCTCCACCACCGCCCGCGACTGTTTCCGCTTTGCCTCCATCATTATTCTGCAAATGTGGTGGTCTGTGAATACCAGTACCGCCGACATTGGTTTGAGCTTCACTTGGTGTCTCAGCTGGTGCTTTGGATGGTGTTGCCGTTGTTTCACCAGCTGCAGACTCCAGTTGTTGTTCCAATTCTGGTAAAGTGTTTGGACTTTCATCAACAACCGATGGTATCTCGTCAGCTATAAGTTCGTTCTTTTTTTGATGGTAATAGGGTTGACTCTCTTTCTTCTCGCGTAATTCCCGTAAACGTTCCAATTGCAAAACATCGTCGTCGGTCTGTATATGCCAAGAAATTGTTTATGTGAACTATTGCTTTTTATATGCATACATTTTACACAAGCACAGGGATAACAACTGTAATTGCATTAGATTTCCTAATCGTTTGGTTATAAATATAGTGTATATTGACGTTCTTCAACTAGAACAATTTAAGGACTTTATTCAAGGTCTGCTTAGAACTTATTGTACAAAAAAGAAAACCCTATTGTTCTTATTCCCAATATGTACTGGAAAATTTTTATAATCGAAACATTAATGTCGGAACACGTGATCAAATCATGATCACGAACGTCATCTAAGACATTTTCATTTGCATATCAACCTATAGTCGCTGTAAGTCATGCGACGATTCGGTAAACACTTCGCAACACCCTTTCCCATAACCATACTTTTGTCTACACTAAGTCCTCTTCTTACGCTGTGTATTCTATAATAAGCAATTTTTATAACACGTTATCAATGGCTTAGAGTAGGTGGAAAAATAAGTTACTTTCCTATGGTATCGAGTTGGTTTCTTAATTCATGACAAATATTAAGAAATCTTTAATATTTAATAACATAATAATGACATACCTTAGGAAAACCCAAATCCATTGCCAATCCTTTGGCAATTCTATCTACAGATCCTGCAAAAAGAAACAAAGTAAATATCGCGCATTATATTAGTATCAAAACACGAAAGCAAGTCATATTCGTCTTGCGGCGAGTCCTGTACACCCACAGCAGTATGTAAAGTAGGTAAAGTTTACGCGGACGCATGCAAACACGCTAACAATGTAAAAGAGGCTCGGAACAGAGTTCCTAACTCCAATCAAGTCTTTCACGATTGTCACTGTCTAATGAGTACTAAGAAACAATTTAGATGCAATAATTTTTCATCAAAGGTATAGCGGAAAAAGTAAATGCCAGCATCGCAACAAAAATCCCATTGGGCAAAGTAGTTTAGATTGGTTATTGCATCTTACCGTTTTGTTAACGGTGATGTGTACCTTTTTATTCATTTTTTACTATCATGGGATTATTGCAAAATTTCAATTTGCCACTATTGTGGCAAATTATATGTAGGGTACAGACGGACGGATCGACAGATCTACTCGATAAGGGATACTTTTATAAATGAGCAAACTAAGGAGTACATCTTCATTCACATCGGCGACGAATATAAAACTGAAATAGGGTTAAGTAGATAACGAAACGATTCGATACATTTTCATATTGTAGAAGAAAAAATGTCAATGTAATCGAATGTAATCCACTTTACCGTTATGCCGCAATTGTTAGTTGATTAAAGTATGCGCCAAGAATAGAAATAAAAGAGCAATAGCAACACATACTTAATCACGAATGTAAACAAATGTGCTCGCAATACGTTTATAATAAAGAATATGTTAATAAACAAGTGCAGTGTTAACATACACATACACATTTGCTTTGCTTTATTTCCTTCTCTGGCTTAAGCAAAGATTGTCGTCGTAACACAACTTGTGTACGAGAAAGCAAAGATGGATGTCAATGTATCGTTCCGTAGAGCTCCGTCTGTTTCCCTGCGTAAGGGATATTGAAAGGGAAAATACAATACATTTGTACACACACTACTAGGATAGGACTAGTGATACAATACAATGACTGAATCTTCTGCACAAATGCACAAACATGTATTGATAGTTTGTGCATTGCATGACTGACTGGCCTTGATTTCTTATATATAAAAAATATTCAATACAAGCAGAATGTATTAATTGCAACAATACAACGCTGCTGACATAATAAATAGGTAAACATTAAATATTGAAGAAATTTCTTTTCCTCCTTACATATAGGCGACTCTATGTATACATTATGTTCGATAGTCAAGTCCACGAAAATATAACGTATAAGAAATGTTAATTGAACTTAGCTCAATTCTATTAGTTACATATGTATATTGTTCAGATTTCGGAATAAGGTTTAGGAACTATACTGAACATCGCCAATCGTTGAATGGGCAGAAAAGGCGAGACGAAACTTATAGAACTAATACATAAATTGCATTGTAGTAGTATTGTGGACTATTTAAAAGACGGTCCAAGCTCTTTGTGCGTGGAAACCAAAGAAATGAACCGAAGATTTTTTGAAAAAAATAACTTTTTCTTTAACTACTTTAAAGTAAGTAGTCGCCAAACTAACTAGAGATCGTTAAGGTGTCTAAAGAGATCGTGCAGCATATGCCGCAAAATATTGTTTAGAAAAAAAGAGAAATAAACAAATCAAAACGTTTTCGAATATTTTTATTACTTTTTTTTTTTCTGCCAACCTTGTTGGATTAAAGCCAACAAAGGCGCTTATTGTCCAATTAAAAGAAATCAATAATTTTCCTTTTATAATACGAAATACTCTCAAACATTATGTAAATCGTAAGTCGAAGTATATGGTAGTTAATAACACAATACACACATTAATATACTTACTGTGGAAACGAGGCAAGGCTAAAGTAGGATATGCTTGACATGACATGGCCAACCCCAGCAGGCCTATTATCCCAACAAGTTTATGCAAATTCATCGTAAGCAAGTCTAAGACGTACACCGCACTTACTGCTATTAAAGAAAGAAACCAACAACAAGAACAAAACGAAATTTAGTTAGTTACATTTGTGATTGGTTTCAGTCAGAAGTCAAATAAGTTTCGAAACTCTAAACAATAAATTTAAAATTAAAATGTCTCCGATTTAATCTTTTAAGCGAAATTGAAATACAAGCGAAATTTCAAAATTCCGTAGGCAATACAGCCCACAGTAATAAAATCAATAAACGATATAACGGGTTAAGCAAACAATGTTTCTATGTTTTACAAATTTTATAAAACTAGCAAACACACACGCACGCACACATGCACACGTTATAAAATAATTAAACGGATAATGGCTTTTTCAGTTGCACCGATATTTTTGCATCAATTCGCAGCATGCAAATGGCTGAAATTGAATGCAATGCATGTGTGTGAAGTGATTCTCACATTAAATATTGATTGAAATTGTTTTGTCAATTTTCCAAAACATTACCACGGACAAAAAACAAAAAGAACAATAACGATAAGCTTTGTAAAGATGATAAAACCCTTGTGACTGACTAATTTAGGAAACTATATGTGCACAAACATAGGCAAATGCATTTCTTTGTGTGTGCGGGGTAATTGAATTTCACACTAACGTCGCTAGAATTCCTAAGCCTTTGTGAATTATAAAAATGCCCTTAATTCAATTACCCTTTAATTGAATTTTCTTAATGATTAATTCACCTTTTATCTAATTTACACATTGCTAAGACCATACACACACACAAACACACAGAAACACAAACACAAACATACACACATACACTTCAAATCTCTAGGGTAACTAAATATTACAGTTTTTATTCGTTTATTGTCGGCGCAATAGTTGCGTTCTTCGCCAACCTTAAAAACACTTTAAAATAGGGAATATAGCCATACAATTACAAGAGCCAAGAGCTTTTATAGAGGCAAAGCTTAAAGCTTTTAACCCCTATTGCATATCATTACAGAAGACCTATTCGTCTCCCTCCACCAGTAATATTATTATTAAAGAAGAATATATTTGTCGTACGAGAGAGAGAATATATATATATATGCTTTTAGCTTAATTTCTTAGCCGATCTGTGACATTGGAGATCACTCAACCAGCAACGGTTACTAAATCGACAAAATTTACACGCAAAGCTCCAAGCAAGTAAACTGCCGAATTTGAAATGGAAGTGATTTAAATTAAATCGAATTATTCAAGGCGTAATCCGCTTTCTAATCGTATTTTTCAGATTCGCTCCGTGGAAAGTTTCTTTTTTTCTTTTTTACTCTACTTACATACGATGTATGGATAAAAATTTTCTTGTCGTTGTGTATAGATGATCATAGAGCAACAAAATGGAAAACGTCAGCTCCGCCTAGCCATGAATATCGCAATTCCATTTACCTCGAATTATCTTTTAAGACAAAGATGGCGGGTATATATAATCTATATAGTATAAATAAAGAGGACTCGACTATAATTTATTAGATGTTTATTTTTAGTTTTTTATAATTACTATATGAAGGTGAGGTTGAGAAAGACATGTGTTCACATTAAGCTTGAAAATTTAATCCTTTCTTTAACCATTTGTTAATTATTTTATTAATTAACATTGAAGTGAACATATAAACTCTGCAAGTTTAAAGAACTTTTTACCAATTGTAAAGTAAATGCTAAAAAGCGTTTAGAGCAAGTTAACGGGCGTTCATATGTATACATAGGAATGGCAAAAAGGGAATAACGAAGTCCGCATACAAACGTCAAATACACAAGGAGCAGTGCAGTTGATTCCATCTAGTTGACATACGCTATTGCCTACAACTGGAATCTGCAGTGTGTTAAGAATTCGTCGCTAGTCAAGATCTCCATATAAGCAACTTTTGTTTAATTTACCCGCATTTTTTGCAGAACCGCCATATTTCAAATGGCCTTAGCCAGTAGTATGTAAGCGTTGGATGGTAGTATCCAAGAAAAGCCGGTTTATCATATGATATATGGCACACCGACTTGGAAATGGGTTGCGAAACCGCAGGTCCTGTTCATTGGTCATAATCAAAACCTCCAAAATAACTAGCATCACAAAGGCAATGTGCGTCTCTTAGAGTGTGTACGATCTGACAGGTCGGGCCAATAAACTACATATATATTTTTATTAAAGTCAATATGTATGATATATAAGATAAATATGCCTGAAAATCGATTCATTTTGCGTACCCACATAATCTCTTATATTTCTTGGTGTAGGTTTCTTGTTCTTCTTATTGCTTGGTGTAGGTAGGAAATAAGAAGTATCTCTTGGGATGGTTTTTAGACGATTACATAATCCTCTTTGTTTTTATTTAGAATTTACATATAAACAAATTCAAGAACAGCCTGGAAATGGTTCGACACGATTTTTACGTAAAACAAATTGGATTTTACGATTCATGTCTTCATTATATATAGCTTTGCACTTTTCAAAATTGACGCGACGCCGCACCTGCAGTATTAACAACATTTTTTAAATAATTAATAATTGTAATATAGGTACAACTCACCTGATAAGGTTTTTCATAATAACGTGTACGCCGAAATTGATCAAATATTTCTTCTTTACCTAAAATACGATTTAATAAACGACATGCCTCTTCGACATTATTATTTTGCACTAGAACTGTGCGTGCCATAAATAAAGAATGTCTCATTTTTGTTTATTTAATAATTTTAATAATATTTTTGACTTGTCCGCAGTTCTAATGTAAAAATCATATGTTTTTTGTACTAGTGTTTTTACAATGACCTTCAAACTGCATCAAAAATATGCAAGTTTGCACAATTTCGTACATACTTCAAATATTTACATAATTTACAAAGAAATACTTACAAAATTAATTACAAATTATTTTGATACCATCAACTTTTCTTTATTGTATTCACATCTGTGTAGTTGTGAAGAATTAAGAAATAATTTTTCGTTTCGCATTATTTTATTATATAGTTTATACGATAAAGCGGTTAATACTGTTAATAGGAAAGAGTATATGAATGCTTGGCAACACTGATCACGGGGAGAGCACGTAGAAAAAAGCAATATTTTCATGGAATAGTAAAGAAGAAATTGTTAGTATTTGTTTAAAAATTATATATTTTAAAATATATAACAATTCTGGTATTATCTACAGATATTTCTTTTAAAAGTAGTCAAGATACGTGCGCGTATATAAAGGTGAAATAATAAAAATACGTAAAGCTGGGGAAATTTGTAAATGTTGATATAATTTATTTTTCGTAAATTTTCAGGTGTTAATTTATTTCTTATAACAAATACACAAATATTGGTGCAATTTAAAAAAAGCATTCAAAACGTCATAAGGTATTGTTTAGAAGCTTTCCGTGAATACACCTTAAAATTGCAGAGTGTGTTATAAAAAACTAAATAGTAGTTTCACATGACTCAACTCATTTGTTAAAGTGCATATTCGAGTTCATACACGTACGTTAGCCAGGTTTTATATACGCACATATCCGCTTTGTCAACTGCTGTTCACACTACCTCTGCTTTAAGTAAGCCAGGCTTCTTAATCAGCTGTGTGTGCGTGTGTGTTAATTGTGTGGTTAACATCTTTATTTTCAAAATTATAAACAATGGTTAATGTGCCTCCGATTCCTCCATTGTTATGCAGTACACCCCCAATTGATTCTGGCGAGGAAGATGATGACTTAGATATATCTCCCACACTTACCGGTGTGGCTGCAGGTGAAGATTACGGTGATTTTTTAACAGTCATTGACATACCTGGTAAGCGTTTCAAACACAATTATAAACTTTATAATAGAGTTTTATTTGAAAAACTCTAGAATCTTTGCCATCACCTTCAGCTTCGCTTAGCGAAATGCAAGTGATAGGATTATATGAACGAGGGACTTATATAGAGGAAAATTCTCCGCCTCCTTTGAAGTCTTCTGAAAAATCTGGAGAAGCTCCCAGTACTGAAATACCATCACCTTCTTCAAAGGCATTAGAGGCTTTAAACTATAGTATCGAAATTATTTCCACGGAAGGCGCCGCAAATACGTCACCAGATATTAATGAAACTAACGGCAATAGTGAAAGCAACAAAATTACATTTAGCGGGACTAAAGACGAGCCAGTTGCTACTGTACATTCTGCAGTAATATTGATAGAGGATTTGGAAGATGACAGCAGTGATGAGGAGCTCTATTCCTCCAAGATATCTAAAAACTTTGCAGAAGAAGACACCAACATTAACGATTATTACAAAATAGAAGAAATCGATAACAGAAGTGAAAATATGACTGCAAAGAAGTCGAAAGATTTTAAAAATATCAATACAACTGAAGATGGAGAAGGCAATGAAAAATATATGGAGCTGTTTAGTAAAAATATTTTTACCGGTTCCTCTTCGTTAGACAATAATAACATAGAACGAAAGACATATGAAATGGAAAATTTTGGAGACTTCGATAATTTCCAATATTTCAATACCACATTACAAGAACCTGAATTAAGTACAGTTCAAACGAGAGAAATCAAGGAATTCGGCGGAGAAAACGAGGAAACTGTGTATATAAAAAATATTAAAGATCCTCTCGGGAAGAAAAATAGTGTAGAGAATAACAATCAGCTGAAAGTTGAATTTTCAGAGAATGAAGATGACAATGGGGATTTTGGTGATTTCGATTCATTTCCAATCCTACAAAGTAGTCGAGAGGGCGATTTTAATGGATTCAATTCTTACAACTCAAGTCCAACTATTGATAACGCCGACAAACAAAATTCAACAACTCATTCTGCGGATAATGAAAAGGACATAGATATTTCGAAATTCAAAAATAACATAGAAAATTATAAATGTGAGGAAGAACAACCGCGTAAATGTACTCAATTTGTGACACGAGCGACGTCATCTATAACAGAGAGTTGTCTTATTTTGGAGAATAAAATTGATAAAAGTGATGATAGCGATGACGATTTTGGGGATTTCAATACCGCCCAACCATCCACAATTCCTGCAACAACCGTAATAATACCTGCCTCTTTAAAGTCAACATCTAGTCATTCTTCAACGTTAGAAACGGAAGCTTCATCGGGGGCGATTCCATCCCATAAAAATTTAAATGAACGCATATTAAAAATCTTACAGTTTATGTTTCCTGAACAGACAATTGCTCCAAACACGTCAGACAATTATGAGCAGGCATCTTTCAAAATTTATAAGGGATGTGATATACCATTTCCGCCAATAGATTCTGCAAAAGCCTTAGACTATCAATGGGCAAATTCAGAGACTCGTCACATTTTTATCAAATCTTTGGGAATAGATTCTCGGAATATTGTGAGTTTTTGAAAATAATTTTGAATAATAGCAATAAAAATGATTTTATGTTAAACGATGTCTTTGAAGCTGTTTGGGGAAAATTGGAATCCCTCTCTACCGCGCTATGCTGCCAATTTGAGTTTTAATCCTTTAAAACCTATGAAACCGAAAAACTCAAATATTGCCGAGTGTTCGACTTACGATGATCTTAGTTCTGACATCAAATCCACTGATAGCTACAATCATTGCAATCGCGACAAGATAGGTTTCATAGAAGATGCAGTGGAAGTGAAAGTGAACACATCAAGTGAACAAAATAAAGAAGGTAACCGTTGAAAAGCGATATTAGTGCAAAAACGCCTAAAATTGCGTTTTTGTGTTTGTTATTTTTAGTTATCAATCCGATGATCTCGGATACATCATCAATCGCCACATCCTGCACTAAACCCGTAACAATAGTTGATAGCAATTATACTGCACCATTGCAATTGAGGGAAGAGGAATACTCGAAGACTCCACCTCTAAGCGAAATGGAAACTGTTGAGAGGTTTTCATCCTCGTTACCTTCCGCTATAGATGCAGAGGAGTCAATAACGCATAATTCGGAATCATTTGATCTACCTGAAATCTCTCAACCTACCAGTTCGTTGAATACAAATAATAATGAAAATGAAGTGATAGTTACATCAACGTTTTCAGGCTCTTTTAAAGAAACTCACATATATACACCTTCAAAGACGATGGATATTGAAGGAAAAAACTCTAGTATGACCCCGACTAGTTCACCCTCCAAAGTGATCCCCATTGATTTTGATTATGCAAAAGCAGCCATGGGTGTGATTATTGATGAGACAGTTGTCAAAAAGGAATATCGGGATGTTGTCTATGAGCCTGGATTTTCATTAGAAATCGCCCTTGAAAAGGAAAGCGTTGAAGCGGATCAGGTCAATGCATCTGTAACAACGACAGGTCACAGTAGTCCATTTGAAGCCCAGATGAGTGACGAAAAGCTTTCAACAGGTGTAGTCGGTAATGCCGAAGATGATGATGAATTTTCTGACTTCCAGTCAGTGCCAAGCGTGGGAACAGATGTAGCTTGTAGCACAGCCGTAAAAAATTCCTTACCATTCCATAGCGACAATACACTAACTCAAAAGTCTTTAAATTCTAAAAGCTCAGGAGAAACGTCAAATCTATCTGCTTCAACAGCTGTGCATGGCATGATTTTAAGCCCAGCCATATTACTGCCTCAAGCAATTGCAATGGAAAATCAAACCCCTAAGATCGAGTGGGGTGATTCGACCGCCAATATTAATCCCGAAGAATTGGCTAGAATCGATGAACTGTTTCCAGAGCCAAAATCCTTAAAATCGACTACCTCTAGCTCATCTCAAAAATCAACACCTACTCGTGAGGCCGTTTCGTCCCCGTCCACGCTCTCGATTAGTGCTACAGTGGCTCATAAAGAGCAGCAATCCCAACATAAAGAGGATGAAGACGACTGGTCCGATTATATTTCGGTGCCTATAAGCAATATTAAATCCATTACCCAGAATCAAACCTCAATCAACAATAACAATAACAATTTTGTTAAAACACCCAACATTTCGCCCTTGAAACAGCCGCCGCCAGCAAACAACAGAGAATGCAATTCGAACAATGACGATGAATGGTCAGACTTCGTATCAAGTGTTCCATCTGCGGGTAACAATATTGCACCATTGTATAGCTCGACTTACAGAAGCATACCACAATTTAATAGCGGAGCTTGGCAAAATGCGAATTTCTATAACAATCCATTAAGTCTTTACCACAAAGGTCCCATTAATGTCGGCAATTGCCACCAGCAGTCCCCTAAACACCACAGTCATAGTCAGCTAAATAATAACAATAACCATAATTACAATCCAACAAGCACATTTAATAACTGTCACATTCCTATACAGTCGCAACAAGCCCAACAACAGCAAATACATATAATGCAGAATTTTTCTACGGCTCCTGAACGTGTAACTACGGCTGGTGGCGGTATCCGCAACAATCAATTTCAAGTAGGTTCAGCTAAGGTAGCGAATAAGGTAGCGCCGAGCATAGCCTTAATACCGGATTTGGGATTTGTTGCACCTGCCATACCCACGCACACTTCATTTATTAACTCATTGCCTAGACCCAGTTTAAATTCGAAGAAATGACGTTTACTTCATAATCAAGCTACTTCTGCCAGCTACATGCCATCCCAAGAGCAGCAGCAACAACAACATTCCCATTCAAGAGGCTCCCCAACTGTAAACAGGACCCATTATCATCGCTCGCGTACAATAACTGCCTGTGTGTCCAATTATAGTGATGATATTTTAATCTAGAACCAAATTGTTAGAATCTTTTAATCTTTATTCTTTAGTTTTTAAACGTACTTTCCTTTTTTTCCTCGTTTCTTGTCAGCAACCGCAGCAGCATTAAGTTTCGTGTACTTAGGTGAGTCTTTGATTTGCGTTACAACTAGCGTCACTTTAATAAGTCCAGTGATCTTTTTATTTATTTACCTTTTTTTTTGTTGTGTTTTGTGAGTGAGTGACTGCACACGTGTACGCAATCGCTTTTAATTTATGATTTTTAGAGAAAAATGTATATAAAATCTGAAAGAAATTGTTAGTTGTGTTTTTGGATAATTTCTGTTCGCTTACACAGAAAAAAAACGAAAAAATGTTTTTGTTGCTACTTAAGTGTAATTAGTTCACATCCCACTGCTAAACGATTATGTTACGCAAATAAAAAATTATATAAATATAAATTTAATGTATCCTTGTTATAAAATATCGCAAAACAATATTCTGCATTTACTTAATACTTTTGTCTTGCTCTAAGAGAAAGCAACCTGCACAACTTTAAATCGAAGCGAACTAAACTTATTTAATTTTGCAAGTTATGCGCCTGAATGGCAAGAATCTCGATTTTCAACTCAATGTCGTGGGTTCGAATCTCAAGTGCGGTACAGTTTTTTTTGATGCTAGCGCTTTAGGAGAAAAAATTTATTCTCTGGCTAAATTTATAATAATAATAATTTTACAAGTTAGCCTAAAATTAGACTGCCATAATTTTTATTATCAAATTAAACAACACCCTCGCTAAATTCCCTGTTGAAAGGCGAAGCACAGAGTCGCTTATAATAAATAAATGGTTAAAAGCTCAACTTAACAACTTAAACGGTAACGTCAATAGCTACGTTAAATGCCCAACTTAACAGGAAACAAAGATTCAATTCTGTTAAATAACAGACAAAACAGATTCAATTTTGTTAAATAACAGACAAAACAGATTCAACTCTGTTAAAATGCAAAGCCGTCGGCAAGTTTGCACGCAGTAAAAAAATCTCAGGCAATAATTTGTTTAATTGAATGAAAGAAATTCACTTTATAACGTAAAGGGGTTTTGAGATTTTTCTTAACTATTTGAATCTGGGATTTTGAAGAATTTTGAAAATAAAATGAAATTATTAAAAAAGACTTTGAATAAAAGAATTAAGACAATTTTTGAAGAAAATATTCCAAAAATATTCCTCAAAATTGATTTCTATACCTAAATCATTGCAATGTATTTGAACTTCGAATTTGGTAACATGGGAGAGTAATTAAATGAGCGACCACTTGTTGCATTGGGCAATTGTCGTGCTCGCGAGTCTTTTTTGCAATTCGATCTTCAATATAAGTATTTAAAAGGAGTAGAAGAGTAGACGCGTAACATTCCACTCAACTTGTGAGATCATCATCTTTGAAGTTTCCTAACAAGAGAATTGTATTTGTGTTTCTCAGTAAACAATTTTCGTTGTTTTACTCATTCGTATAGGAAGTTGATTGAGAGCGAACTAACTAACTAAACCTAACAGATACAAATAATAACTTTTATACGGCACAGTTTCATTTAATTGTTGGTAATGCTTTACACAATTTGTTTTGATTATTTATTTTGCTAAAGAAGAGTGAAAAATAAGAAAAAAAGAAGAGTCGGTTACAAATAACAAAAACGAAAGTTAAATTGCAGCGGAAAGCCAAATAACAAATCATAAATAAACCTTAAAATAGCGCAAAATTTGAAGCATATGCGTGGAGGAGTTGTTGCTCCGCCCAAGAAAACGGAAGCGTCAGAGAACAAATAAAAGCTGAAATTGAACTGAACATAAAGAATGTCCTACAAGGCAGAACGCGCTTTATCTTTCTTTTATCCCTTGGTTGTTGGATCTTCGGTTGTATGCTGCATAACATCAGCGGTTTTATGGTCTCATTGGCGCTACGTTTTGAACGCTTGCCCCGAGACCAATTGTGGATGCTTCCTCCATGCTCGTTCCACATACACTTCGTTTGAAGGCGGTCATATCGCTTATTGTCATTATTCGACATATGGTTTACTTCTGCCACTGTTTTTCTCAATAATCTTGTGCATTTACCACGTATACCGCGTGTGCTTGGGTACAGCGAAAACAAAATCTGGTACTGCGACAATTAGACAGCGGTTAGTATATATAAGCTTATAACTTCCCTATTTTGCAATGAAACAATGAAAATGTCTAAATCCTTGGAGAAGGTTTTTTAAATATGTGAAAAATTGAGAGTATGGATAAACTTGACCCCTCTTCCCAAGATCAATTTAATGAAATTTGTTTTTCTTTTGTTTGAAAATGCAATGCTTAATTAATTAGTGAGCAGGCAGCAGTGAGTATAATGCCAAGTGAACTTCCTCTTCTATTGGTTTACATGTCAATAATTTTATATTCGTATTTTTAAACGACAACGACAAAGGTTAAATTATTTTAAAACAATTTGGCGTAGATAGATACTCATCAATTAGCGAATGTTTCTCAAAATTTACGCCTCAGTTTCTCGTCTCTCAACCACTATCACATCTTTCGAAAATTAAAAGTTCAATTAATGTGAGACGGCTTAAAAAAAAATTTGCCCATGCGATCCCAATTTTTCAAGCCAACGTAGTATATCGGAGTACTATCACTTACCGAAAAATGTTGATTTGATTTGTAAATAACGCTTGGTCATAGAAATTGTCCAATCATCATTTGTTCATCAATTGTTCATCAATATGCATCCGACGTGCAGGCTAAACAACTTAAATCGATTCAGAATGATTTAAATAAAAAGGCGAGTCTTAGTCTGGACGGTAATATGAAATAAAATGCACTGTGGAATTGAACTGAAAGCAAATACATAATAACTAACATAGCAATTCTTCCATAATGCTCCTTTGACAGGGACCTTTAAAATATATATTGTAATTTCTGAATTTTTATCATTTCCCTTAATTATTTTAGCTCTGGCGACGTAGTTGTAGTAACTACTGAATCGGAAGTTACAGACAACGACATCTCTCCATATTATTGGCTTCCTGTTACTATTACAGCCAGTGTTAATTTTGTGTACACATTAATCTACGCTTCAATCTTTACTGATGGCTTTGAAGTAACTTGTAAACAGTATCGGGAGACTTTACTTAAAGAAATACAAGGTGTGGGAAATATTGTGCCGGTCATTAAAAGTCGTCTATCCTGTTCGGCCATATTCGATTTCATGGATTATTTGGTAGAAAGCATCTCTTATGAAAGGCGAAAATACGGTCGTATTAATAGTTCAGTATGTTTTTATATGTGCTTGATATGTGCTTGGATAGCCGTAATTGCTTGGTTCTCTATCTGTCTTATAAACATTATACAGACGCGGAGAACTAAACCGGCTAGAATTTAGTAAATTTCTAAATACTTTGAAGAACATATATATATTATTGTACAAAAAAAACTTTTCTTTACGTAAGCCTAAAATGTGTAAAATTTATGTACAAATATCAGTAAAAAATACAAATTTTTTATTTTGCATATTTTTTTAAGAAATAGTTTTCGAAAGCGTTTCTTATAAAACTGTAGTTTCTCTTACATAAAGAAGAAGCGCCATTTAGTGCAAAGAAGAATTTTTGTGTATGTAATACGATTAGTTACAAACTGAAAGGAGAGGATATCTCAAAAGGGCTAGAAAGGGCTAGCGAACTCTATCCATAAGCTATGCTCGGAGTTGATAAATATTACGAAAATTATATTGCAAATCTTCAACTTCCTTTATCTTTCGCCTTTTATTACATAATATCTATCGAAAGCATGATCCATTCAGTTTGTGGAAAACTTATAACCATACTATGAGGATATTGCGGTTTTAAGCAAAAAGGATGGAGTGAGCTGCTAAATGCTCTGAACTTCGCCGTCAGATAAATGGGACGGAAATGACTTAATAGAAACGCTTATATATGGAAGAATAAATTATCAAAAATACCTTGACGGTTGAGAGGTTTTATAGCGAAACGAGACCCTTTCTTCAGCTCCTTTATTTCATTTTACGGAATTTCATCTTCGTTACTCACAAATACATTTTCGTTGTTTGCATTACTTTGAATTATGTTTCCATTTTACAGGCATTTGCTGCCATTTTTTGAAAACTTTTCCATTTTTCGGCAATTTATTTCCGTTTTGCAGAAATTCGATCTCATTTTGATGACATTTATTTTGGTTATCCAGACTAATATAGCCCAAGTTTGTTCTTGTCCATCTTATCCATCATTCTGTTCGTTTTGCATACATCCATTTATTCCATTTGTTTCACCTCTTTTTTTGATGGACTCTTTTTCCAGATGTGCCTTGATAAAGTGTTAGGGTCGAATATGCGGCTTAAAACCTACTATTTTATGTACTTTAGTAAAAAATGCTTTTCGCAACTACAATACTTCCTCTTTTTTTTTTTAAACATTTAATAACTTTAACCAATATTGCTAAATAGCAATATGCGTTTGCTACAGATTTATCTTTATTATGTTTGCATTTCCATAGTATGTACTAACAAGATTAATAAATACCTCAACAACTATAAAAATTTCAAAAGAGAAAAGAATAAAGATTTTAATTTTTACTCTTTTCCGAAATATAAAATTGATGACAGAAATTATAAAAATTAACTTTCGACTTGGAAAGTCGCGCATTTATTGAAATTATTTTTCGTCAATTTTAAAATTATATTTAAAGGTGAATTAAGAATCCCGTGAATCAGGTGTTTCAGATGTTGTAAGTGCAGGTATGTTTTGTATGAAATAAACGAATTAAAAAGAATACGAGTCAAAACAAACGAATGCAAAAAAAAAAGAATCAAAAGGATTGGTGTGCACACATTTAAATCGGTTTCATTAAGTGCGACGACGACAAACACAAAATATCAATGTTTTAATATAAGAAACAGGCAAGAGAGAGAGAGCGACATATTAACACGAATTGCTTGTATCAGTTGGCTCGGTCAGCCTTTTCTGTTTCGGAAAACGGTTAAGGCGAGCAATTGCAACTGATGCAATTCAGCAGCAAATTTAGTTAGAAGTGTTTAACTGATGTTTATTGACTAAGTGGGGAGTGTGTTGCTGGCGCGTCGCTTAAGAAGTAATATAAAGGAAGATATGTCTCCAAAGTGTTCCAATGTGACATCGCGTAAATATCCATTCGAAAATATGCGTTTGGATGACCATACAGTTCTGGATACCATCGAAGGCCGCCATGATTGCTTGCACTGTCATCGCTCCAGAAAATTTTTTTGCTACAATTGTTATATACCAATACCAAATATAGCTGACCTTATTCCCAAAGTAAGTTTGCCCATCGATATTGATATTATAAAACATAAGAAGGAAATTGATGGAAAAAGTACCGCAATTCACGCGGCCGTGTTGTCACCACAAAATGTGCGAATATATACATATCCCAACATACCAGATTACCAGAAAGATCGAGAAGATGTCATATTAATATTTCCAAGTGCTCAAAGCATAACGGTACCGCAATTATTTGAACGTAAAGTAAAAATATACAACGAGCACACTTTCGCTTATCACAAAGGGTACAATGTGGGCACACTTTTAAAAAGCCGAATGAAGGAAATTATTGAGGATGACAGTGTACAATCTAGATTAGAGTATTTGCCACTAAAGAAAGCAATTTTCATAGATAGCACTTGGAACCAATCAAGAAGTATTTACAAAGATGAACGTATCAAGTGTTTAAAGTCTGTGGTTCTGCAAAACCGCTCTTCACAATTTTGGAGACATCAAAAGAATAGTCCACGTTGGTATCTCGCCACTATTGAAGCTATACATCAATTTTTATTGGAATTGCATATTAATGCGTGGGGACTGAATTCTAAGTATAAAGGCTTGGAGAATTTGGAAATAGATGATAACTTGTATAAAATTGCCCAAATAATAGAAACAGGGATAAATAATGTAGAACCAACAGCTCCTTATAATGGTCAATATGATAATTTAATGTATTTTTTCGCAAACATGTATAATTTAATACACAAATATTATGATCACAATGAATTAAAATCGTACCGAAGACCGATATGAAAAATTAAATTGAAAAAGTATTAACTAAAAAATATAGAATTTTAGTGCTTTTTATTCATTTACTTGCGGAAACTGAATACTTAAAACAATGGGTGGAATGCTGGAAAATTATTATTTTTTCTTCTTTTGCTTGCTTTCTTCATGACTGCTATTACTTAATGATGCGTGTTCTGGTTTCGGCTTTTGCCAGTTCAAAGGATGACGCCTATATATCGGCCAAGGGGGTATAGTGAGCTGAGAATTAAGAACATATCTTCATGCCACTTTAAAACGAAATATATATAATTACCATACTTACCAGGGACGCTAAAACAAATCCAGCCCCTAATATGTAGACAGTTTGTGAAAATTGCTGTATGATCACACCCCAGATAAGTCCAACAACACCGAACAGGGTTATAATAAACCGTGAATATTTTTCAGCCTTTTGCTGACCGACAAAATCCTAAATTTTTTTTTAATAATCAAGTTAATAGGCTTTTAAACAATCCAAAGAAGATAAAATTTACCATATGGGTTTCAAAATTAAACATTTTCTCACAAATTTTTCGGCAATTCAACACGTCAACAATGTTTCCATATACTTCTTCTTTGCACACTTGTGTTTCATGCTGACAACTAACGGATGAATTTAGGTAGCAGTTAATAGGGTGATTATGAAATTTTAAAATGTAAAATTAATACGGTCGCATTTGCGATGTAATTTTGCTTATTATTAGCCACATATTATGTCGCTTAACGAAAAAATAACTCCATTCGAATGTTAATACTGCACTATTTACAACCTACTCATAAATTCAAAATACATAATACATAAGTGTTGCATAAAGGCAAAGTCGTCTGGAAGTCGAATGCGATTATTCAGATAGTTGCAGTATTGCATATACGCAAAGGATACCTTGTGTTTTTTACATTTAATATAATTTATTTAAGATACGCATCGGACTTCTAAATCCCGAGTTTAATCGTTTATAAAAAATTTAGCTTTCACTTTGTATTCAACTTTGACAAAAACGCCTGAATACTATGGCGAAAGTTGACTTTCAGCTGCGTGATTACTGCCCTCGTATTTTATACTTGCTCCAGCCAGCAGTTTAAAAATCGTGCAAAAAGAAAACGTCGAAAGCGCGCATCAAACAGAAGTACCTTTTTCTTTAGAATTTTTTACTTTACTAAATTATTTTATTTGGCTTATTAATTAATATAAATTTCCGTACGAATAAAGTGGAATTCTTTTTAAATTATCAATTGAGGAAATAATTATTTGTGGCAATATGTGGGAACTTTTTGGGAACTAAGGACACATTAAAAATTAAGCGATAAAAGAATATGTATTTTATAACCCCATCCCCTTGTCAGCGACGAGAGAAATTTATAACTATATATGCATTTTTGTCTGTAGATAATTGCTTCTTTTTAATTTTGATCGTCTATCAATTCAAGAAATTGGGTACACACGTCGCGGCTGCATTCACCTTTACTATTAAAAAGGAATTTGTAATAATGACCATCGGCACATATTGCTAAAAAATTGTTTTAAAACCAACTATGAGAATACTTTGCAATTAAATCAAAGTATACATACCAATTACTGAATTCGGGTCAGATCCGAAAGCACAAATACAGGCTGGGCCTTGCGGTATGGAAAATTTAACAAAACTCCATTGGCTCGAAAAATATTTGGGTATTATTGGTAAGCTAGACTCTTTTGGTTTGTTGTCTTCTAAATTAAAAACGTGTATCGTGCCGTGATCAGAAGAAACAACTAACATCGTCGATTGGTGATTAAAATTTATACAATATATATTCGCTTGGTTACTGCCGCGCCTTAACTCGCCGACTTTTTTGCCATTTTCTGTATCGAAGATTCGTATTAAAGTACCTTTTTCGCTGGCAGTAGCTAAACGAGTTCCCTGCAGGTTCAAAGCAATGCAACTTATGGCTGCCTCATGGGCAATTACTTCTAGCGCAGCGCGTTCTGTGTTGGCCAAATCAACAATCTTAAAATTAAGGGTTAAAAAAAAGATCAAAAAACGTAGTGAGCCCATTTTACCTGCACATGGCCGGAACGACGACCTGGGAATGCTAATAGACTTTTATTACTGTGAGGGCATAAAACGCATAAGCCTTTGGGATTGTTGCTAGTCTCGAAAACATGCAGTTGTTGAGGTTGCTGTGTAAATGTGTAGACCTTTATAACACCTTCCAAAACTACAACTATACGATCTCGCCCTAAAAATCATTAAATAAGAAAGTTATTATGTCGATTGCACCTAAGCAATGAATCTAAAATTTAATTATTAAAATTTAATTTTATCACATTCGGAGCGGTCAAGGTCGACAACCTAAAAGAACAAAAAATTGAAATAAACTAAAAAGGTTAAATACAAAACGTACTAGTTAGCTAAAAAACTCTTTCACTTACTCTCTAAAGTAACATTCGAAATAATTAAAATTCGAAGTTCGCTCATTTACTTACTCTCTAAAGTAACAAAATTCGAAGTTCGCTCATTTACTTACTTAAACGCACTGCTGTAACAGGTTGATTAAAATCCAAAGATATTGCTGGAGCCTTTTTCAAATCATCCCATACAATCACTTTGTTAGGAGGATACAAAGGACGTATACCCCCGCCCACCAATGCTAAGTAATTGCATCGAAATAGCATCTCAACGTGACTTAGACCGCCTTCAGGAAAAAGTTGTCGCTCTTTTTCTTTGAGAGGATCGCAATTATAGACACGAAAACCTGTGTCTGTAGCGCAGGCAAAACATCCTGTAACGCATTCATCAACCAACAAACTCATTTCCAGAAATAGAATATAGGAAATATACCTTGATCTTGATTAAAACCGGCATACAAAAGACCATTGCCATAAGGATTCATTTCCACCAAATTCAAATTCATGGCGATTTCCTCCCAATGCAAATTTTCCCACAATTATTTTTTTGTTAATTGTAGGTCAACTCTTGGGAATGCTACAGCACGCCTTACCCCAGAATAACAATCAATTGCAAACGAAACTTTCAACTAATAACGTTGACTGCAAATTGCTTAAATTCCTTGAATAAATTTTGCAATAATATCAAATAATATTGACTTTAAGCTATAATAATTCCAAAGAAAATTGATATTTTATGTTTTATTGTGTATAGTTTTTTATGTTTAGTGATGTCAATTGATTACTTTTAGTATAACATTTTTAGTAGGATTACTAATTCAAGCTACTCTTTACATAAATACGCAATTGTCGCACAATTGGCATCAGTGAAGAAGTCTTCTTTGCGCAATTATTAAGTGTATTATAATTAATGTCTAATCAAGGTCTGACAGTGGCATTGACAAATTTCAAATATGTTATAAATTAATCTCGGCATTTATATTTCCAAAATTAACATAGGTTAGAGGGCTTTTACAAGATTATGAAGATATGCAAAACTGTTCAGTTTAGTCGTTTTCTTTATTTTTGCTATGTGGCATCATTTTTGCTTAACGAAATGTAAACAATGCAAATGAAAATCATATGGTGTTTGGACAAAATTGATATGTTCAGCTGATTCTTTACGATCAGATTTTGATTTATTAAAAAAAACACTTAAATGCTTACGAATTTTCATTTTGCTTAATGAGAAATATACGATCTTGTGAAGATAGTATATGTGCAAAAGAGTAATTTATATTTATTGTTTATTTTATTTTTTTTAAAAACATTTCTCAAGAAAAAGTTTTTTATAGAACATGAAAATTCATTCAATCTTCTTTAATTTTCTGTAATTATCAATTCTTTGTTCCTATTCTTAATTCTTCTTATTCAGGCATTCGTCGTATTCCCCCCCTCTCTTCTTACTTGCTTTAGGTAGACCTGGTAACTCTTGTGACTGGTTTCTGATAAAAGAGATTGTGTATTAAGTTCTTTTTCACTCCGCGTTAATATTTTTTTGCATTTGGTTTCATTTTTTTTAAAACAATATTGTTTGAGTTTTAATTTTTTAACTGAAGTAATTAACTTCGTAATTAGCCTTCACAGTCGTTCAATTCAATTTAAAGATAATTTTTTCAACTTCAGTGAAATTTGCGAAATGCAAAATAAGGTTGAGAAAATTTTGCGTGTGTAAATTGTGGCTGAACCAATAGTTAATAGTTTTTCCATCGTTAATCAATTTTGTATTGCGGTGGTGGTGAAGAGTACTCCGCCTTTTAAAAACGTGTTATATATGGGTGTTGTATGAGGCAGTTTATTCTTGGCTGTCGTTCTTTTTTGGGTGGTCGTGGTCGTGGCTGTTTATTTAGTGTAAATTTGGAATAGAAACAGTCGATGCTTTTTGCTATAGCGATGGTAGTGGTGGGCAACATAAATAGAAGCAACAACAACAACAACAACAACAACATCAATTGCAATAATTAATAAACGCGGAAAGTGGTATTAATGAAACGGCTGCCTGGACGAGGTGCTTTACACAAACATGTACATAAATAAACTAAAACAGGATCAAGATTAATGCATCTATATGTGCATGTATTCTTAATAAAGAAAGAAAATCAATTCCAATCTTATATTTTCTCCACAAACACATAAAGCGATAAGTCGTTCAGCTTAGAGTTATCTCATCTTCTCTTTTACAACAGTAAACAATTCAACATAACAAAAACCTGCTACACGAATGTTACTATATTGCTATTTTTCTACGGTCTTTGTTAGTATGAAATCTAAAGCTTGATTTGCTGCTCATTAAACTTAAAATGTCTTTCTGACGGTGTTAAGTGTCACACCGGTGTGTGGAGTTGTGATCGTATGTGTCGTATAAAGTTAAAAGAAAATTTGCAATTTTTTAAAGCAAAGAGTTTGCTTAGCTCATCCGATTTGTGTGACCGTTTCGTTGCGATAAACCGTTCATCATTCCGTTAAATGTGTAGTTTGTTGGGTTAACATTTAGAATATGTTGCGCTTTCTAAGTCGGCGTAAAGTTCGCAATAATTATGTTGAAAATGATCGTGTCGACGCCAGATTAGCATCTGGTGTCATTAACACCAATGTCTCGTCGCAAATCAAACCTCAACGCATTCCGGTTAACAAGAATAAGATCGATTGCCGTGTTATACTTTTGGATAATACAGACTTATCAATTGAGTTGTCAGTAAGTACGCTTGGATGAAAGTGCTGATGTGCTAATACGTTACACATGTGAACTTTTAACGTGTTCCAATGTTTTCTTGCAGCTACGCCCACTGGTTTTAGACTATTTTATCGTTTTTTGTTTTTTTTTTTTTTTGTATTGCAGAAAAAAGCGATGGGTAGTTTTTTATATGAGCAAGTTTTTTATAATTTGGATATTATTGAAAAGGATTACTTCGGTTTGCAGTTTACTGATGCAAATCATGTTAAACATTGGTTAGATCCCACCAAACCTATCAAAAAGCAAGTAAAGAGTAAGTGTTTAAATCCCTGGTTGCACGATGTGTCCTAATCTTTCTTTTCTACTTCTTATCGCCATTTTTAGTCGGCCCACCTTACACGTTCCGTTTAAAAGTAAAGTTTTATTCCTCAGAGCCAATTACTTTACGTGAGGAATTAACACGTTATTTATTCTTCCTGCAATTGAAACATGACCTCTTGGAAGGACGTTTGGACTGTCCGGATGATAAGGCAGCTGAATTATGTGCTTTGGCCTTGCAATGTAAATACATGATGATATGCTTTGATTTGATGTAGATGTAGATGTGATACATCTTCTTATCCATCATCATAGTCTCTTAATTTCGTTGCCTTGTTTTTAACATCTAGAAATACTTATCAATTATTGCATACATTTTCTATTTTCTAAACTTTATTCATTTCTTCTTTTTGGTCATAAATGTACATAATTTCCACTAAAATTCCAAAAAATTACTGTAGAAGTTTGCCACGTACCTGAGTTGATACAATAACAAAAGACTAATTGATATTGCACAGATACATATTTATTTGTTATTTGTGCTGTGTCATGGGCGCACAAGTCCCTCTTTCACTTGCTGTCATTACTTTCAGCTGAACTGGGCGATTTTGATGAGGAGATTCATACGGCAGCTACTGTGTCTGAATTTCGTTTTGTTCCCGATCAAACGGAGGATTTGGAAATTGCTATTTTAGAGGAATACAAAACGTGTCGCGGCCTCACTCCGGCACAGGCGGAAACTGCTTTCCTTAGCAAGGCTAAGTGGTTGGATATGTACGGTGTGGATATGCATACGGTGTTGGTATGAATTTTGTTATATTTTTTGGATAATTTCGAATTGGAATATGGCGGGAGATTCAATTGTTTTTCCGCGTTTTTCCGGTTTATCGTTGACTACACGATTGAACTGCTTCTTATATACCTTGGGGTTTCTATTATTTTAAAATTTTCAATTGGAGATTCGTGTTGGCGAACTTATATTTGAACAACTGGCTTTGCCCATATTTTTGCTATAAAATTCTGTTATTGTTTTGTTTTAGGGCAAAGACGGCTGCGAATATCATTTAGGTCTTACTCCTACAGGAATTTTAGTATTTGAACGCGATCAAAAGATTGGGTTATTCTTTTGGCCTAAAATTAGTAAACTGGACTTTAAAAAGAAAAAGCTCACTCTAATTGTCGTCGAAGATGATGATGAGGGACGAGAGCAAGAACACACCTTTGTTTTTCGTTTGTATAATGAAAAGGCCTGCAAACATTTGTGGAAATGTGCTGTAGAGCACCATACATTCTTTCGTCTTAGAGCTCCTGTGAAAGGACCATCAGCACGTCAAAATTTCTTTCGTATGGGTTCACGATTCCGTTATTCCGGTCGCACTGAATTTCAGACGCAACAAAGTCGGGCAAGACGAACTGTTCAATTTGAAAGGCGCCCATCTCAACGTTTTGCTAGCCGTCAGTCCCATTTGTTGAGAGAACGTCAGAAGTCGTCTCAAGAAAATGCCGCTTCAGCTTTGGCTTCGGTTAATGCGCGTGCAGCTGCTGCTGCCGCACCTTCCACACCGCCCAGTAACCAGGAAGTGATTAATACGGTTGATTCAATTTTATCGACTCCCAACATAGAAAATCAAACGAACCATGTTGCGCCAATAACACCATCACCGTCAATACAGACTGTAATACATAATGCAGGCGTGTTTGATGAGGTTAATTGTGGCAGTTCGATACATTCGGGCTCCAATGTGTGCGCCTCGCTGGGCCGCAATTCGATAAAATCGATTTCGAGTATTGATGACGCCGGCTACTCAAGAATCGGTTCCTTTGGCAAAGCAGGCCTCACCGTTGAGTAAGTGTATTAGGCTTTCCTTCAGATTTTTCAATAATGCAAATTTTTTTCTATATGCAATTTGTAAGACTTGAACCTGAGTGTAGCAAAGCTGCTCCCATAGGATCTTTGAGGTGAGTTGCGATGGGGTCTTATTGCTGTGTATAATTATGTACGTGTAAGCATTATTTTGATTCGTGCATACCTGTTGTCTCTTGTGCATTAAACAATTTTTTTTTCTCTTATCTCTGTTACGAAGTCACTAACAATAATATTCTTTATCTAAGTTAAAAATTGGAAGATTTCTTAATGTTTATATATATGCTGGTGTTTACGCGAGCGTAGAAGCTTTCAATTATGATAGAAATTTTAAATAATTAATGTTGCTTGCGTCGCTTTTTCTTTGTACATATTCTCTTTATTGTTAACTAAACTTACAGGTAGTAGTCAACCTTGATCGTATAACATACAGCATTCGGTGCTTTTTGTTGTTAACTTTTATAATCGTAAAATTATTTTTATTTTTCAATTTGTGTGTTTGTGTTTCGTTATTCTTTTATAGCGTAAAGAGTGGCTTATCGGATAAAGATAAAGAGCTTGATTCACTGCTAAAGTCTATTGTTAAAGATCCATCACCATCTATTTTAGCTAACGAAGCTCTTAATGATGCTAACAGCATAAGGTAGAGTAAATGAAACGTATTGATTTTTATATGAATATTTTACTTATCAGCTATCACCAATATATTAAAGCGGGCGATTACGCTTAAAGAGGGTCCACGGAGTTTTAAAATATTTTTGTGATAGGGTAGCGATGCCTGGAAACGAAAATTTGTTATGTTATAACTTGATGAGATAATAAAAGCCAGCTTAATAACGACACGGATTTTCTAATCCGATAATTAATTAAGACCGATCTAATTCTCATTTGGATTCTCTTCTTATTCCTACATAAATTACACTCTCCATTTGCTTTTTGATTATGATGTCGTACTGGCAGTTGAAAGCATCATTTCGATGAAGTATTCAGTTTGCTATTAAGCGAAATTTAAATGTGCTTTAAGTAAATGAAAGTGCTGCTCCCCCTGAAGGGGACTGCTTTTGACTTTGTTAACTTTTCACAATTATATTACAATTTTAGCGATTTAATAATTTACAAGTTAGGAGCATAAAACATATTGCAATTGGGCGGTCATGCGTGTATGTGCGTGTGGAGCAAATTTTTTTTTTTAAATATGTCGAAGCTTGTTATTATAAGAATAGCTTATCATTTTTTATGCCCTCATTCTCTTAGGGTCACTATTAATAAAACATTTGATATGGAACATAATACGGAAACTTTAAAGCGACTATCTAATTCGGATAAGCCGAACAATCAGGTGAAATTGGCTAATGTGGGTGGATCCGCCCTTCCACCTGGTCATATAAAGTGCAATATACTAAAAGGTGAAATCCCTTTTTCCTTTAACCGAAAATATAGTTGTTTAATATCTGTTTGTAGCACGTGTTGAAGAGGAACTTGGAGCCAGCACTGCAGCCAAATTAACAAATCAAATGTTTGTGCCGGCCGCGTCAGCTGTAAATGGCATAAACAATAATGTGTACAATAACAATATTACAACAACCACTAATATTCCAAGCAATAATTTGCATAACAACTTACTGCACCATAACGAAGGACCTGATTCATTGAATGCCACCTACATATCAGTTGTAAGTGCTAGTTGTTAAGTTTCTTTCTAAAAGACTTGTGTAGGCTTGTAGGCGCGAACTAATTACCAAACTAAATTCCTTCTTCTTCATCCATTACCCATTTAGTACGTTGCAATGCAATTGTTTTTTTTTTTTTATTTAATTTCTATTTGTGTTTTGATTTGCATAACGTTATATATTATGTTGTGTGTTTGTTTTATTTTTCTTTTCTTCTGTATGTGTTGTATTTGCGCATTATTTTTGTTTTATTATGTTCTTATGTGTACAAATTGGGTCATACAACACCTTATGGGAAATTGTTCGTACCCGAAAAGGGTGGCGATAAGTTAACATTGAGCATAGTTGAGCAAAAACCAACAACAACAACAACAACAACAACCGCTAACAATAGTAACAATAACACTTTGATAACAACAACTACAACCAGCACGAGTAACAATGTACACAATCACGTTCCGAATCATAGTGACGTGTTCGATTCACTTAATACCACCTGCATTACAGTTGTAAGTATTACACGAATGAAGCGTTGTATCGTACCTTATGTTAAGGCATCTCAGTTTAGTATTTAAATCAAAATTTTTAAATTATTTTATTTATTTTTATTTTTTTTTTTTGCGCTTTTGTTTGCGTTTCGGCTATGTTTGTCTACGTTATTTCCCTTTTTTATGTTTTCATTCAAGACCTTTTTTGTGCATTTAAAAAGCATGGTGATGATATAACAATTCAACATATTTGAACAGCACTGATTTCTTATTTGGTAATAATATTGTCGCACCTACCTCGCAACGTGTACCCCATCCAAGTGCCATTTCCTATCAGTAAAATGCTATGCAATAAAGTAGAGAAAAAGTGCTTTAAAGTAAAGAATTAAAATGCAAGTTTCTGTACTTTATCACATAATGTCAAAATCAATGCTGAAAATTTCTACAAAGTTTTTCTTTAAGCCACACATTCCATACTTTCTATTATGTATTGTATATGTATATTAATAATATTATGACTATAGCGATAAATGGCGATTACGACATTGTTACAATGAGAGTGTGTAGTCTTGTATTAGAATAACTGTATGTATGAATTTGTATCAATTGAAAAATATCTGAAACGGATCGAAAAATATTGTTTATCACCATTTCTCTGTGTGTTTATGCATCAATTGGAAACCCTTTGATTCAGTAAAGCTTCGTTAAGCTTCGTAAGCAACTTGAATGCCGATGATCAGGCAAATAACGCGAGCTGTTTTTTGTAACTTGACAATTTCTAAATTTCTTTTTTGAATCATTTCATTGCACGTTATTCATGTTGATGGATAACGACTCGAGCAATAGAGGTTTCATCATACTCTCTACATTCTAGTCGACCCATATTGCTTACACTTTCTCCATTGGTGTCATGAAAAGTTCAATGTCTATAAAATAAAAAAGTTGATTTGGTGAAGGAAGCGAAATGTCAATGCATTTGCAAGGAGCACTATCCAAGGCATATAAAGTTTGAATTAAGAATTTTTAGTCCTAAGTAGTACCACGACTTTCGATACATTCTGAATATTAGCGCAGGTAATATGAGTTTTTCATTCGAAAGAACTTTTAAATGTATTTTCCATTTTAACCATTGCATCGACACTGAATCTATCGTATGTTATTTTATTATTCTACAAATGACATTCCACGAACTTATCAATTCGTATATTTTGTACATTCACATAGAAATGGACTTGAAAAGGTATTAATAAACTGTTGTTTACAAGTTCGGGGAGTGTTAAACCGGTTAGAATTATAAATAGAAAACAAAAAACGAAAATGTCTCGCAATTAAATTTTAAAAAGGCTACTCTTAGCTTTAGTGCGGCGATACGTACGTTGCCGCTGTGAACCGCTGTATTATAATAGTACGAAACGTTTCGAAATCATTTCTTAAATAAATTCTTTTTCCTTCTAGTCTCAGCCGACAAAGCACGTTAATCACGTTACATCATCTCAAAATGATACTATGGTCTCACCATGGCTGGTGTCTTCGGAAGTTGTGTCGGCACCGAAGGGTAAAGAACCTGCAATTATACGGAAATCGGTTATAACAACGCAGTTATAAGCATTAATATTAGTTAATAGCTATTGATTAGTTTTTTATTATTTTTTTTTTTTTGTTAATTACATGATTATGATGTGTTTTTGTTTTTCTATTTTTGTTTTATTTATATTTATTTTCATTCGTATCATTTTACGTATCATTTTTTTGATAACGTACGGGGGCTTCTCATACCTTCACTTCACTTATATGTGGGTATTCGACTTTTGTTACACTGCTTGTCATTTTTAAAGACAATTTTTTATAAAAGTGCGTGCGATTAAAAGATTCCGTAGATAGGTTGAAATGCATTAAATGTATTTTGGTCGTGTCTTATAGATGTCTTGAAATGCCAATCAGGAGAAATCTTTATATCTCCATTATACGGGGACATGTGAAATTAGTACACAGTCCGGTCATAGATGCCAAAAGTGTTTCTCACATATTGACCGAAAGAAAAAATGAAAGAAAAAAATTCGATTAAATAAAATGATTATTAATGTGCCTTAAAAGTAGTCGTTTGCTGCAATGTACTTAACAAATTATAAGAATTAATTAAATTGAACTCTTTTAAGCATATTTGACAATTGATTTAACCAAAAGACTTATGTATAATTCCTTCCCTTTTCGTATTGTTTTTTTCTTTCTTTTTTGAATGAATAGGTTTTAAATAGACAATCTGTGAAGAAAAATGTAAAATTAAAAGAAAAAAGAAAAAAAAGAAAAAAAAGAAAAAAAGACATTCCGGTTGCTCTTTCATCACTCAGTTAAGCAAAATATAGGCAAAGTAATAATATTATGATTATGACTGTAATTTTTCTTTGATATTTAATTCTCTAAATTATTTATTTAGAAATAAAAATGAATTTTCTGCAATTAATTAAGCTCTTGACAACGATCTGTAGTATATACATATATATTTATATATTGAAATCTAAATATATCGAAACGTATATTATTATATATTATATAATTGACATAATGAAATAATATATATATCTTTATATACACAATTTTACATCTTTTCTAGAATACATCATACAAAAGGTATTCAAATGTACACTTTCAATGCAATAAAACTATATTTTTGTTTATTTAAAAAAAGGCAAGAATGAAGAGCGTATGCGCCGTTAACAAAAATTTTCCTCTATCATATATATATATATATATATATATAACTCTTTGGAAGACCTCCGTTCTTCATGTTCTGCCATTTGATATTTTCAAGCATTAGTTGACATATTGTGGTTTTGTTTTTTGTCGTTGTTGTTAGTAAAAAGCACTAACTAACTAACAGAACTAAAATTTTTGGCATATTTGATTTTTCAAATTCAACGAAGTTGTTGAGGCGCGAAAACGAGGGGTGTGAAATTTATGGTGTTGACTACGAGATAAACGGTACGCATGTAAGTTGGTTTGGAAAGCAACATTTCGTTTGACGGTCTATTCAAAGATTGCCAATATTCGGGTCGAATTCCGCAAATCGTCTGCAAATCAATTCGTTGCCGTAGTTCCATAGGGGCATCAGTAGACGAAGCAGATCGAGAGAGGGAAGATTTAATGGAAGAATTTCCTAATTCATCAAGAAGCTTGACATTGGCATGTTGTATAATGTGAATTTAACAACACGTTATTCGTAGCATGCTTTACCGCCGCACAGCCAGACTTTTTCTGTCTCTTTAGCGTACAATTTCTGATGGAAAGTAATGAGTCTTCTGCGCCATAACTCGACTATAATTATTCCTTAACCGAACCGAGTGGAAAGGTAAATTGCCTCATAAAGGATCACACTATCAATTCGGGTGGGATTATGGAAACGTTGCACCTTGAGTTACACCCATCCGAATAATTCATATTGTCATACTGTCATTGCCTGATGGAAATAGTTCAAGCGATCAGAAAAGAGACATCGCAGTTAATAAAGGGCAAAGCAATTTTATCATTGCACTGTGAGGCTTCTTGTAATTCGCAAAAAATTATCGGAATTAGAGTTCCTTAGACCAGACGCTACTATTTTTTTTTATTAAAAAGTAGGGAATAGGACCTTTTTGCATGTTATATACAAGTGCTCGTCCTTCCTTTCTCGAGGAGGGGAGAATTGAATTGGTAGCGAATTTCACTGCTTGTTTACAAAAATAGGCAACTTTCGTCCATAAGCGGGTTAACCATATTTAAAAATTGCTGATAATTTTGTAATGCTTTCCTTTACAATTTGCAAGAGGTAGAATTTCGAGGGCCCGCCTGTTGCGTCAAAAACGGGCCGAATTTCTTTCTATTTATATTCAACTTTAGACGATGGATATTCAAAGTTCGCCTCGAGGCGAATCTCTTTTACTTGCTCTTATAATAGATTTATATTTAATAATCGTAAAATCGTGTGCATGTGAGCATATTCGAGTGCTTCTGTGCGGTGCTATGTATGTAGTGATCATGTAAAATACGTCTGCCTGCACATGTGTCTTCAGGCGTAAGGAAGATCATGTGTGAGTGGATCGTTAATAAAAAGTATTTTTAGACATTCAATCAGAGAAATGTTTGGAGAACAAAAGCGTTCACTATCTATGAATTGTTTTTGCAGTAGCTGAGCCATTGCCGAAGGTATTCTTAAGTGGGAGATGCATAACCACCACACCTAAAGCGCATATGTAACTGAAGATCGTGGCATGTGTTTAACATATGTGTGCTCGCCTTTTACGGATGCAAGTGGAAGCGATGTAACTACTTAGTCGATTACTATTTACAATTTTTTTTTTTTTTATTTAAATATTTAATTTATTTTTAACCCTCCGCGACACGTTCTCTACATGTGCGCTTGATATTGATATCGATACTCTTCAATCTCTTCAATATTATAAAGTTGTTCGTCTTCTACGCGAAATTTTATTGAATTAAAAGTTGTTTTTATTTTGTTTTGTTTTTTTTTTTTTTTTTTTTTTTAAGCTTTTTCTTAGATTTTATATTTAATTCTTCTTTTTGAATAGATGTACATTTGGATTTTCGGTTGTCATAGTCCTCAAATTTTTCTTATGTTGTTGTGGATATTGTATAAATGTATTCTCGCATAATTCTAACAAAAGTTCTTTCATCCTTTTTTTCATCATTTGCTTTTCGTTTTTTTCATTTTGAGTAATACGAATATTTGTATATGTATTTGGTAATAAAAAAAGACAGAGATAAATCCATTAAATATGCCATTGAGATGTTCAAGGATTTTTCTAATAGTTGTTGTTGTTTTCTTATCCTTCGTCGTCATATTATAAACTTAGTTTCTTTAATAACATTAATTAAATTAAAAATTATACAGTAAAGTATTTTTAAAATATTAAAAAAAAAAAATTGTAAAATTTTCTCGATTGATGATAATAGTAACCAATAGTTTTGATTCTGCGTCCGCGGTCGAATCACGGTCATTGGTCTTAAACCTGTTTGAATGCAACAAAATGAGTCGCTTAAAAGCATTTGCGGTGGACAATGCCGGGGCCGGATTCGTCGTATTCTTGTTTCGAGATCCACATCTGTTGGAAGGTGGATAGAGAAGCCAAAATAGAACCACCGATCCAGACCGAGTATTTACGTTCTGGTGGGGCAATAATCTTAATCTTGATGGTGGATGGAGCCAAGGCAGTGATTTCTTTTTGCATACGATCAGCAATACCAGGGTACATGGTGGTGCCACCAGACATCACAATGTTGGCATACAAATCCTTACGGATATCGACATCGCACTTCATGATCGAATTGTAGACAGTCTCGTGAATACCGCATGATTCCATACCCAAGAAGGATGGTTGGAAGAGGGATTCTGGGCAACGGAAACGTTCGTTACCGATGGTGATGACTTGACCATCAGGCAATTCATAGGACTTCTCAAGGGAAGTGGAAGCAGCGGCAGTGGCCATTTCTTGTTCAAAGTCCAAGGCGACATAGCACAATTTCTCCTTAATGTCACGGACAATTTCACGTTCGGCAGTTGTGGTGAATGAATAGCCGCGCTCAGTTAAGATCTTCATCAAATAGTCAGTCAAATCGCGACCGGCCAAATCCAAACGGAGAATGGCATGAGGCAAAGCATAACCTTCATAAATTGGTACTGTGTGTGAGACACCGTCACCAGAGTCCAAAACAATACCAGTAGTACGACCAGAAGCGTACAGGGAGAGCACAGCTTGGATAGCGACATACATAGCGGGAGTGTTGAAGGTTTCAAACATAATCTGAGTCATTTTCTCGCGATTAGCCTTGGGGTTCAAGGGGGCCTCAGTCAACAAAACTGGATGCTCTTCAGGAGCGACACGCAATTCATTGTAGAAAGTGTGATGCCAAATCTTTTCCATATCATCCCAGTTGGTAATGATACCGTGTTCAATGGGATATTTCAAAGTCAAAATACCTCTTTTGGACTGGGCCTCATCGCCTACGTACGAATCTTTTTGGCCCATACCAACCATGACACCCTGATGGCGGGGACGACCAACAATCGAAGGGAAGACAGCACGGGGGGCATCGTCACCGGCGAAACCGGCTTTGCACATGCCAGATCCGTTGTCAACAACTAAAGCAGCAACCTCATCGTCACACATTTTGGAGTATTTGAGTTGTTATATATTCTGTAAATAGGTAAGAGCGGTATCAAGAATTTTGATAAAAATGCGGGGCGTTAAGTCTATTCGCTTAGTCTGTAGTTTCGAGGCTTGGAGGGACTTTTGACAAAATGTACAAAAAATACATGTACATAATTCGGATCTATCTATGTAGGTTTCTGAGCACATCGTACAGGTGCTTATGTTACAGGTGAATAGGACGTCGGAGAAGACATAACAAAAGTGTAAAAGTTAGGAACGACAGTTCATATTCATTGCATATAGCATATGAGAGGCCAACCTAGAGAATATTTTTTTTTTTTGCATTTCATGAAAAGTACATCAATTCTTTTATCAGTCACTGTAGCAAGAAAATATATCTTTTATAATGAAGTTGCGCCATATCACAGCAAGAAAATATATCTTTTATAATGAAGTTGCGCCATATCACAAAGAAGATTAAATATTTTAGAGTTGTATATGTGTTTGTGTACATATATAGGAAGTGCGATTTTTGGCTGATCTTGTCTCAGACTGCCGACTAAAAATACAAACGATGTCAGGGCACTTTGTTCGGCTTTAAAGATAGTGGAAATCGATTACAGTAAGGAAAGTTTTAATTTCCTTCTTCTTTTTTTTATCGGGATCCATGAAATTTTTATCTATTTGCTTGCTTGCTTTTCAGTTTAATTGTGTTAAATGTTTTTTGAATTTCTCAAACTAAAAGATTTTCGAAAATTTTCCTTTCTTCGACTTCACGATTGAAGGCAACAAAATCGCTTTATATTTAGCTTTACGTAATTTCAAAAAAAACATTCGAATATAAATGTTTAAAGCATTTATATCTATTATTATTTTTTTCAAGCAATTTATTTTTGTTCTTGTTAGACAAGTATCCGGTTACATAACAGAAACGGATCTTAAGTGAAAATTATTTTTGAAATGATTTCTTTTTTCCAAATTCGGTTTTAATTGTTAATTTATTTATTTATTCATTTATTTGTTTTTTAATTTATCTTTAAATATCAAATTTCTTTTCGATTTACTTGGCTTTTATTCGTATTTTATTTTATACGGGCAGGTAGGGGGCGTTAGGATATCACCGGGGGTCTAATCCTTTCATTCGGTAATGTCCATAGTATTTTTCCCATAGTATATATATATATATATATATATAGATATATATGTATGTATATAGAACACATGCACAAACACACACTATACTAACCGTTTCAACAAATTAAGAAAACTAAGAGACTAAATCAACACTTTCGCTGTAGAACTGCGAGTGGCTGCTGGATTTTCATGTACTATTATTTATACTAATTGTCGGAATTTTGTATGCGAACAATTTATGAACATCATTTTTCATACCCACACATTGACAATCGTTACCCATACAATTGATATATTAAGCACTAATACCAACGTGGGGTAATAGGCGCAGGCGTTGCTTTATAGAAGGGGAAATCTCGTCATTTCTTTCCCTTCGATCATATCTAGAGGGAAAATGTCTAAATATTTTCATTTTGTTTTTTTTTTTTTTTTTTTTATATTTCACAATAATTCTCTGAGAATTAATATTATGGAATATAAGTTCTTTGTCATGCACAGCAAAAGCTGAATCTTTCTTAAGACCACATAAATATGTAGGGATATGTAGATATCCTATCAGAAAATGAGAGTGCTGAGAGCTCTTTCGTTTCTGATTGGAATAGACGATGAATATCCTCTTGAGTAATGTGCTCCATATGTTTCCTCTCCTCGGATCTATAGCTGTACAGATAATTTGAATTATGCCGTGAATGACTGCTGTGTTTCAATATTTCCCCGCACAAATATACGCACAGATAATGTACAAACGGCAGAATGTCTTAATGAAAAATGAAAAAAGGAAGGCGGGGGGTAATGTGTGAGTAGTGCAATCGTTCAAAATTTTCATTTATTTTTGAAAATTGTATAAATAAGAAAATTATTATTTGAAAGAGAAGTATGTAATACACAAACACATACACACGCACACTAAAAGAAAGCAAAAAAATTTCTTTTCTCATCATATTGGCAGACAGTACTATCATCCCATACATGGATTGGGTGGAAGTATTTTCAATCTTTATGTGCACGATTTTCGGTTCTTTTCTTTTTTATTTTTTTTTTTTTTCTTTGTTCCGAATAAAGGTTTTGTAGAAAAATACAATGAGCTGAATATGCAGCATTTTATTTGAATTCTGTATTTTATTCACTTATTAATGACCAGAAAATTATTTCCATTCTTTTAAGAAAAGCAAGCAAAGTTTATTTCTTTTGAAAAGAATTTTGAGTAATAATTGTAGGCGGATTGGTGAATCAATCATTGCTACCTTTGCAAAGAATACTAAACATTTGGCTCTTAAAGTCTACGCAAATATCTTACACTTTGTAAATTTTAAATGCATTTGTTGTTCACGCGTACGCGAAGGGCCTCGACTAACAACTCTCAGCGGCCGTGGTTTCAAGTCTCAAGTGCGGTGGAGTTTTCAATGAAGGCGATAGGATAGATAGCCGTAGACGAAAATAGTTGTGCTTCGAGATTTTAATCTTAGAATTTATTTCACTCGCTAAAAAAATTAATAACAATAATAATAATATAATAATAAATGCATTTGAACGATTTCTAATGGGTGCTTTTTCATTCTCTGGCCCTTGTCAGGACTACACTTGCGTTGTTTTAAGACTTCGTATTTCATTTTCCTTTCTTTTCGTTTTTGTGGCAAATCGGCAATCAAAGCAATTAAATTAGTTTATCCCGAGCGACTTGAAAAAAAAAAATGAGTAATGAATTTAAACGAAGGATATGGGTGCATAGTTGTTTTGTCAAAATGTTTGCAACATACCTGCCATGTCTACACACACTTGATCAATATCGGATCGATTCAAGCATGACTATCTGTATAAGTACGACATCATCTCCACAAAAAAGAAATTTTAACAATTTTTATAATTCTTAGCCCACCTAGTTTCTCTTAGTACAGCAGCGGTTGGTAGATATAGATAGAGTTCATGAAAATTTCAAGGTGCGTTCATTTTCGGAGCCGTTGAAGAGTAGTAAATAAGTAGAGTAAATAAGTAAGCTAAAGCGAGAGTAAGCTAAAGTAAAACTTTGACAAGTGATAAAGTGATAAGTGATATATTATTACACGTCGTCGTATGATGCGCCTTTTATGGCCTTATATTCCACTACACCGTGGAAAGATTATATTGGCAAGCAAGTAAGATGGATAGTGTAATGATCTCTTCAAGTTCACGAAAAGCAAATATCATTTAGCAGAGTTGTCTTTCAAAATATGAAATAAAAAAATGAAGTCACTATTTCTTCCGAGACTACGTCTCGCAGTCAATGAATATTAGTAAAACATGATTCTACGCTGGCTATTTGTCAAGACTTCATTAACAAGAGCTGGGTAATAATGCATATGGCGGCCTGTGATGGGCATACAGCAGCGCACAGAGTTTACTTCAGGAGAGTGATCGTGGATTTGATAGCGTGCATATTGCACGCTTTTTTCTGCTATTTAGCTCCGGCGGTGGACATGGAAGAGAAATAAATAAAATATGAACTAATTACGTCACACGGTATCGGCAGCATTCGTATATTTTATAAAAGCGACTAAAAGAGAATTAAAGAAATAATTTTTCATTTAAATAAAATCATTTAAACAAATAGCGAAGAAAGAGACTAAAACAAAGAAGAAGAAATTTTATGAAGATATCAATTTTTGTTGTCTTGGATCGAAACGACCACTACGGCCTAGCTGCTCTACAATGGGAACATGTTGGACTTGGTAAACATATAATAAATCATTTTATGTGAGTTACTCGTAAAACGAGCGAACCCAGTCCAAAAATGGATGTGTAAGAATTCATTGAAAAGATTATTGCAGAAGCATTTCGAAAATCCCAATACGTTCCCGATTCTCGATTGCCCATTATTGGATAAGCTTGCGGTCGGGTATGATCTTCTGACAGCTTTGAAACCTAAAGTGCATGGAAAGTGAACAGGAAGGATGCATTTAATTAAGACACGATTCCGATAGACAGAGTATGGCGATTGCTATACGTGCACCTGTGCGTTGCAAGTAACTAGCAAATTGAGCATACCGCGTGCGGTAGCAGGCTCGCGTGAAAGTAAACAAGGCATAGATATGTGTAAAGTTATAAAAACGAATTGCGTGCGTAGCAAATCGGGGTGAATGAAAGGCCGCACCACCTTTTAAGGATGGGATGGATATGTAATGCATTTTCTTAGACGATAATGCACGTCAGAGTATTATGATTAGCTGACGAGTAGCAAGTTGTGGTTGTTTTTTCCTCGTTGGAACGTTGTAATTATTTTTAAATTGAAAGCAGTGCCAAAAAAAGAATGAAAGAAAAATTCTTATACACACACAAAACTATGCCGATGAAATTAAAAATGAGAAAAAAATAAATAAAAAATAAATAAAAAGAAGGAAAATTAAATAATTCATTAGTCGAAGAAGTCGAACGATTCGGCGGTAGTCTTCGAAATGAGGAGAAAACGCGCGTAAGGCACAAAGTTTTTCAAATTTTTTATTTCTTAAAACATTTTGTTGTTTTCTGGTTTTCCATATCAGAATTATGCTAACTTTTCCTCTTTTCTTGGATAGACTTGAAAAGATGAAAAGATTTTCTAAATATGCTCCATTCTAAAACTGCAAAGTGAGAGGATATAGAAAATAATTCGTATTTCCGTCTCTCGAAGTAATTTTCAGTTTTTATTTTTAGCTCGAAGTACACGTATGCGTATGTAGATATGTATGCGATATAGGCAGCCCTAGCAATGCAGTATGATTTTGGGAATTCCTTTGCGATTATTTACATATGTGTATTGTACAAGTTTATCTAATAAGGTTTTGTTGCGCATGTTTAGTTTGCACTTAAAATAAATATCATAAGGAAAAAATAATTAATATATGTATATATATCTAAATTATATGCATATGAAATGAAAACATGTACATGTTCAAGACTCATACATATTAATATCGATTGTATGTATAGTGTGTGTTTGTGTGTGTGTGTGTATATGCACGTACACGTATTTTTTTTTCAGTGTAATAATCAAATGTTCACCGCTAAAATGTATAATTAATTCTTTTGTTTTTATGGCTGCTCTTGCACCGCTCTTTTGTATACATATAAATATACATACATTTTTACATCTACATATATCCACATTCTTATAAACATATATATGTGTGCATGTGACTAACATGTATTTTGATATTTTGCTTTCATTTTACTCGGGTGGTGGTGGGTGTGTGTTTTTCTTGGTGCCAGTATAAACAATATAATAATTTTCTATATTTTTTTTTTTGTTTGTTTTTTTTTTTCATACAATTGCTTAGTACATTCGCCTACATAGAGGTTTGTTAAGGAATATATATTTATTTCGTAATTTTAAATAAAAAAAAAAGAAAAAAAAGAACTAATAAACTGTAATATAATTCCATTTGATTAATATATGTATGTTTGGCAACCAAACCAACGAAAATATAATTTTTAATTTCAATTACATAGAAAATAATTTCAAATAATTAGTAAAATAACTGAAACATTTAGCAGAAAACAACATATTCGACTCGAGAGGAATTTACGATGCGCCCGTCCAAATATAGATTCTATATAATATACGATATCTGGGACGAGCTTACATTATGATTCTGATAAAACAATTCGCGGGATTCTTAATTAACCAAAGTAAGTGTTGTTCTCTTCTTACTTACTCCCTCACACACATCAGACTACGCCTTCCTAACGTGTGACGTATGACTAAAGTGACTTCTTCGCTGGACGAAATAGAACAAAGTGCTTACTTGACTTTGTCGCAATCAACGAGGAGGACAATGTTACACCAAGTGTGCACTCCTCTGGTGGTTAGCTATAAATGCTATATGATTGCCCAAATCATCATAGAATGCAAGAAGGTCGGTATGGGGTTAGTGATGCGTTATTTGATTATACCTAGTATTTTAAACAAAATTAAAGGCAGTATAACAAGAATGCAAGAAATATCAGAGTATTTGACGTGAGAACGAATTTCAAATAATTCAAGAACTCAGGCAGGCAAAGGACAGTTTTTGAGTTATTTAGACAGAGTATGGCGTATGAATGCGGTTTTAAATATGTTTCTTGTACTTTGAGCTGAGAGATGAGGAGGCTCGGATATACACTAATATTGTTACACCCGTTAAGAGTCTTATAATGTTTATAAAGTATGTCTATTATGCTTCAAGTCGGAACTAAATTATAGGCGGAAATCGAGGCAGAAAGTTGAA